GAAGGTTTATTTAGCTCGCAGTTTGTGAAGATTTCAGTCCAAAATCTGCTAAGTCCAAGGGAGGCTCATGGCAGAGGGCAAGTTCATGGCAGTGGAAGATAGCAAAAGCAAAAAGAGAAAACAGGAGGCATGTTACAGAAGACTCCTTGTGTCTTCACATTGTATGCAGGGTTATGCCACCCTTGGATAGGTGTAGCATTCGCACCATAGTCCATCCCAGCATGGACCATGACTGCATGAGGCTTTGGAGGGACATCTAGACACAAACCGCAACAGATGGCTCAACATCTACAATTATTACAATTAATAAATGTAATTCACTGCATAAACAGAGGAACAAAAATCACATGATCATCTCAATAGGCATAGAAAAGGCCTATGATAAAATCCAACATCCATTCCTGATAAAAACCCTGAATAAAATAGGTATAGATGGACTTTATCTCAATCTGATAAAAGCCATTTATCACAAACCTACTACCAACATCATATTAAATGGGGAAGAACTGAATATAGGGGTATTAAAAAAAAAAACCACAACAAAACAAAACACCAGACATATGAATCAATGGAGCAGAATACAGTAATGATGGTAAACTTTTTAGAGACCAAGTGCCTAAACTACAGCCCCAAACCCACCTATTTATCATAAAAAGCCAATACTGCAACTAAATCTGAACATGAGGTTTTAGTTTAGAAAACATAACATGGTCATTTTGTTAAAGTCCCTACCAGAGAGGAGGTTACAGTGTTTTGCTACGTACAGCGAAATCTGAAAGCTGGCAGTTATCAGATGATTTGTTTTAGAAAGATAGTTATAAAAACTCAGATACTGGAAATGATATTTCCTCAATTTTCCTTCCAGAAACCGTTTCCTTTCAGTTTCACCATGTTTAGCAACACTTCTGTGGCTGATGTCAAAGTGCCATTGACACTCTGTGCAACACACAACACTCACTAAAAAGAATATGTAACCCTTTCCTACTGTGGTCAGTCACGCCAAATGACTTTGTCCGGGCCTCTTGGAATGACTTTCCACTATCTTTTTTTTTTTTGCTGTAGTCATTTTATGATCTTCAAGACTTAGAGTCTACAAAACTACAAAAAATTTTTTTAAAATGAAGTACAAATCTATCCTTATACCAAAACCAGCAAACATTCTTAGTGATTCTCAGCTGGTGTTCCTCTGAAATTTGGCTGACCACCAGTCCAAAAGGGCAAAAGGGCTGACCACCACCAGCTTTTCTACTGCTCTGAAAAAGGCAGCTGAGTGCATTTCCTACCTGTGGGGGCTCCTGCTAAAATCACAGCCAGCCCAAGCAAATATGAGCTTGCTCTTATTTTCATAAATTCTTCATGAACAACTGAGTACGATACTGCAGATTCAAACATGCCAGGGGGATAGCATAAGATTACAAGAATTTCAGCCTCTTAATTAGGATATCTCTTTGCTAAATCTTAGATATTAAATTTCAATTTTTTCTAAGAAAATTCAAAGCTAAAATCTTGTATCAATAAAAATGAATGTATTAAAAGTCATAGGCAGAAAAAAAAAAGTCATAGGCAGTCCAAATATACACATACCCTTGGCAGCACACTGACTGGCCATGTGAAAGCTTAGCTAAATCTCAGCTGATAAGTCTTGGTTAATGAGATGCGACTTGTTACTGGTTGTCACCACTATTACTTTCTGAGAACGTGCATGGCCCTTATGTACACTGTTGTCTGATGCTCAGCTACGGGGGCAATTTGGCTTGTGTGCCCACAGTCAGGGCTGTGTGCTGCTGTGGCATGCATACCATAGGTTTGCCACCACTGGAACAGAGGATACAGAAACAACCTCAAGCACGTTCAAATATTTGATCTTTCACAAAAACATACACTGGAGGAAAGGCAGCCTCTTTAATAAATGGTGTTGAAAAACTAGCTATCTACATACAGAAGATTGACTCTAAACCATACATCTTACTACATACTACACTAAAATCAAAATAGATCAAAGAACTAAATGTTAAACCAGAAAAACTTTATCTGCTAGAAGATCAAATAGGTAAAACTCTTAAAGGATTTTCTGACAGAACTCTTGTACAGTAAATAGCACCAAGAATCAATAAATGGTATCATACCAAATTAAAAATCTTCTGTGCAGCAAAAGATACAACCAATGGAGTGAAAAGACAACCTACAGAAGGGGAAAAAATTTTTTGCCAGCTATTCCTGAGACAAAGGACTAATGCCTAACATATATAAAAGATTCCCCAAAAGTTAGGTTTCCTGCAAAATAAGATCCAATCAAAAAATGGGCAAGTAAAATAATATACTTCTCAGAGGAAGTACAAATGGTCAACAAAATACATGAAGAAGTGTTCAATAGCACAAAGCATTTAAGAAAGGAAAATTAAGACATTAAAATTCAATCTTACTCCAGAAAAAATGGCTATCATCAAGAATTCAATTAATAAAAATCTTGGTGAGTCCTCAGGAAAAAAGGAACCCTTCTACATTGTTGCTGGAAATATAAACTACTAAAACCATTATGAAATCAGTAAGGATGTTCCTCAAAAACTAAAACTAGAAATTTCATTCTCCTTTTAGGTATCTTCCCCAAAGAGTTAAAGATACATATTGTAGGCTGGGCATGATTGTTTAAGCTTGTAATCTTAGCAGTCAGAAGCTGAAGTAGGTGAATTACCAGAAGTTCAAGGCCAGCCTGGGTTACATAGCAAGACCCTGTCTCAAAACAACAAAGAGAGACAGAGAGACACAGAGAGAGAGAGACAGAGAGACAGAGAGAGAGAGAGAGAGAGAGAGAGAGAGAGAGAGAGAGAGAGAGAGAGAGGAGGGGAAGAGAAGGAAGGGAAAAGAAAAGGAAAGGAGAGGTAATTGTATTACAGTGATACGGGTATACCCTTGTTATGTGTATACTCTTGTTTACAGCACCACAACTCGTAACAATTAAATTTTGGCAGCAACTTAAATGTTCATCAACAGACAAATGGATAAAGAACATGTGGTATTTACATGCAATGGAGCACTACTCTGCCATAAAGAAGGATAAACCCAAGTCATCCGTAGGAAGGTGGATGCACTTTGAGACCACACTGTTGAGTGAAGTAAATCGAACACTCACCCAAACATATGAGAAACCCAAAACACAAATAATGAGCAAGATGGAAGGCAGATAATAGGAAGTAAGGAGATTTTTCCGAAATTGGAAATGGATCAAGCGATGGAGGAGGGGGCATGGCGGGGAGAGAAAAAGAATGAAGATACATTATCTACCTGTGCCAGCTCCCCACAGGGAAAGTGATCATTGTGGACTATAAACGTTTACTACTAAAAAACAAAACAAAGAAAGAACAACAACGTAAGAAAGCAAATCACAGGCCAACAAAAAGCAAAAGGAAACTACTTCTAAGGCTCGCTGCCTTGTGGTGCTCTTGGTGCCCACACAAGGCCCTGCCTGGTCACCACCACCACACAGGGACCCAAGCCTGGCCAGGCCCATGGCAGGCTCTGATGCCTCTGGCAGGCAGACAGCTGCCCAGGCTGCTTCTGAGGATGCTCACCCCAAGCCATAATCTCAGTAATGGCTCAAAGGTGTGTGCTGCCAAAACTGTCAGAGACCTGACTGGGCTCTTTCTTTTTATTTTTATCGGTATTGGGGATCGAACTCACGACCGCCTGCTTGCAAGGCAGGTGTTTATGCTGCTGAGCTAAATCCCCAGACCCGACTGGGTTCTTTTTAATCGACTCAAATGCTTTAAACCACAGAGGGCCCAGGTTTGTAAAGTGGGCCCTGGGTGTCCACCACTGAACCTTTTATTAACTATGAGTCAGGGCAGGCCCCATCACCCTTCTCACACCATGTCGTGTACACTGCTGCTGGCCTGTGGGGCCAGGACTTAGCTCCTCCTGAGCCCTACGTTTTCTTCTGCCATCTTGCCTCTAGCTCTCTGGTCCTTTTCTCAGCACAGGCCAGGGACCCGGTTCCTGTCTCTCTCCAAGCCCCTCTCCTGATCAGGCCTACCATGTCTTTCTCAAGGTACAGCCCACCAGGATGCTGCCCTGCTTGGACAGTGCCAACACTAAATGTTGCCTTGCTGTGACCCCTATGACAGGCTCTGCACAACCAGGGCTGGAAAAACTTTAGGTGCAACTTTATGTTACACAGAGGCCCCCAGGGCACCATAATGTCTGCTACCAACCCCACTGAGAAGGTGGGCAAGGATCCACCTTTTAAAATATCACAAGGAAAGTAGCTGGCCAGGGCCCAGCACATGCTGCATCCTCAATGGATATGAACAGTTATCCACTGATCCTGATTCACTTGCAGTACAAAGCCAAAGATCTCCTCAATGATGCTTATTGCTATTAAACCAGTTTTTAAAAATTGGCCCAAACCCTGAAGCATTCAGACTTAGCATTCTCCAATTCTGACAAAGAATGTCAAAGAATGAGGGAATGGATAGGCATTCCTGGGGAAACTCAAGTTCAAGGCTGGCTGCCATGCCTGTGGGCAGAGAACAGTGACACTGAGAGCACTGGCTCCCAGCAGGAGGTCCTAACTGACTCAACTCAACAGCAGACAAGCCACACTCCAGTGCACCCAGCCTAGTGTCACCAGGAGCACAAATAAATCCCAGTGCCAACCATGGGCAGCTTCAGGGCTGGGCTGGCCACAGGGCCTCTCATCCTGCCTCTCTCCTCAGAACAAGCAGACACACGGCCCCTCACATCCAATTCCAGACCAGCACCAGCTGTCCTAAGTCATATGATGCTCTCACCAGGAGCAATTCTGTCCCTTAGGGTACCTTTGTGGGTATAGCACTGGCAAGTGGGACATGGTGGGTCCAGCTGGAGATGTTGCTAAATACCCTACAGTGCATGGGCAGCCCATGCAGGATGGCCCCATAGAGCAGCTGCAGTGCTGAGGGCAAGTGGCCTGGTGCAGTGTGACAGGAAGGGTCACTCTCTGTTCTCTGGGCGACCAGCCTCACCTTTTTTCTCCCGGGCAATCTTCCGAACGCCTTCCCTAAATTCCGACAGTACTTGCAGATAGGGCATGACTGTGGACTCGAGCTGTGGAAAGAATGGTTCTGCTTCAATGAGAGTGGCTGACCACCTGCACTTACAGCTGACTACCTAACAGTTCAGCAGTCACATGGCAGGGCAGGGACAGTGTGGGCCACACTGCTGTCCCTGGAACTCCAGGGACATGTGAACATGTCTAAATGTACATTCTTCTTTCCAGTATGGGCAACAAGGTTTTAGCCTTTGAGCAAGACCTCCCCTGCCTCTAAGTCATGCAGCAGTTTGATAAATAAAAATAAAAGATTAACAGACACCCAGCTGGTTGGGTCAAACACTGCAGCCCCAGTCCTCCTCTGAGTCTGACTCCTTGCAGGGAGGCTCCAGGCTTCCAGAGCAGTTTTAGGCCTTTATCTCCAGCCATACTGTGACAGCCCACGCAGGCCTCAGTGCAGGGGAGAGGAAGTACTTATCCCACTGTCATGAGGGCTCCGGGATGGCTTTGGGGTCTGTCTGAAGGATATCTGGGACTGGTGGCCTCTGGTGGTTTGGGTGACCACACTGGGGGACATGGCCAAGGGGTCAGCACTGATGAAGCTTAGGAGCAAGGGTCACCTCTCTGGCTCCCATAGCACTTTGGTCTTGGAAATCAATCCATGAAATTCACCTCATGTGAGGTGCAGCCTTATAGGGCTGGGCAGAAACTTACACCAGACCGGGTCTGATTTTGATATTGTGCCCAGGATCTGTCAGCAAGCCGAGTCCTTGAATGGCTGGCTCTTAGAAGGGGAAGGGAAAAGTGGCCATGCTGGGGATGCCTGATGCCTCATGTGGTAAGGTGGCCTAGACCACAGCCCCATGCAAGAGTAAAGACAACTTCCTAAGTTTAAAGGTAGACTGATTCTAACTTCAGAGGCGTTTTGGTTTCTGTGTTTTCAAAGAAATGCTTTACTATCACTTGCACAAAAGAACAAAGGAGTTACGAGGGCTTTTTTCCAAAAGGTACTAAAAATAGATTTACATACAGCAAAGCTGAATAATCAGGGGACCCACAATCAGCTCTGAGGCTGACAAAAGGCTTGGGTAGGGCGAGAGGTGGGCAGGTCTCTCATAGTGCGGACGTTCTCCTTCTTGGAAAGGTGGCTGGGTGCGTCTGCAGTGCCATCAAGGGGTGGGGTTCCTTATGCCCCTCATCCATAGGAAGCTGGGGTATAAGCAGGTATTGCTGGTGCTGGGGTGAACGCAGTGGCAGAGTACTGCTCTTGCCTAGCATGAGGAAGGCCCTAGGATTAATCCCCAGCATTGCCAAAAAAAAATAAAGCAAGCACACTGAAGGTTTTGTAGAAGGTAGGTGTGGTGGTGCATGCCTGTAATCCCAGGTACTTAAGAGGCTGAGGCAGAAGGATCACAAGTGCAGGTCAGCCTGAGTAACTTAGTGAGACCCTGTCTTAAAATCAAAAAAGGCACTAGCTTAGGGTGCATGAGACTCTGGCTGGGTTCAATATCCAGGAACACACACACACATACACGCACATGTACACACACACACCAATAGAAGAAAAAAAGGAAGACTGTCTTTTTACATGGTACCAAGCTCCTGCTTTCATTAGGTGATACATTTAAATGCTGATACATATGCTCTAGTCAAATAATTATAGAGCATTCTCCAGGGGAGGAGGAGGAAGGACATCTATCAGCACACTGTCCTCACTAGCAGAGATGAGGGATAGATGATGCTCGTGACGGGCACGTACCACTGTGGATACAGAAGCCAACAGCAGGCAAGAGGGGTTCATTCCCAATGGGTCCTGCTCGCTCAGGCTCGGTATGCAGAAGGCTCTGCATGATAGCCACCTCCTGCCTTCTGGGTGGCAGCTGCTGTCCCAGGGCATGTGGGCTATGCTGATAGATCCTGGGCACAATATCAAAATCAGACCTGGTCTGGTATAAATTTCTGCCTAGCCCTATAGGGCAGAGGTGGATGATGTGTATTCCCCACTCAACATAAGCGCTGTGCCTTTTGTATGTACATGGGTGTACATGGGACCTGAACACACGACACATGTACAAGTACAGATTAGTAGAGTTGGCTTTCTGTGCCATAAGGTTCCACATTCAAGGATTCAACAACCACTAGACTGAAAATACTGGGGGGAAAAAACCAAACTGTATTTGTACTGAACTCAAGACTGCTTGTCATTATTCCCTAAACTATATATGACCCTTCACACGGCATTTGAATTGCACTAGGTGTTACCAATAATCCAACGATGATCTACAGTCTATAGGAGGATGTGCATAGGTTCTATATAAATTCAATACCACTTTCTTTTTGGTTTTAAATGAGGGGCCTGAGCATCTATGGGTTTTGGGGTCCTCAGGAGTCTTGGACCCCATCTCATGGCTATCCAGGGAAGACTGTGTTTTTGGTCAATTTGAGAATGAGGGTTCAGGACACCACATGGCTGAGGTGTGATCAAGGGTGAGAAGTGACTTGTTGGCTGGTGCTGAGACTGAGCTCACGTGACAGCATAGGGCCTTCACTCCAACAATGACAAGGCCATCCTGCACCAGGCTGCGGCATGGTTGGCATAAGTCAATGAGGAAGTGACCCCAAGCGGGACACTGTGTGTCCACAGCAAGAGTCCTGTGGCTTCCAGGGAAGGGAGTGGGAGGATGAGGGCAGAGGGGCAGAGGCCCAGAGCATGCACACTGGGTGGAGCAGAGGTCACGACAACAACAACTGCCCCTGGGGGCAACTACTGGCACTTGCTCTACTCACATTTAGGCTGGTTCCCGATCCTCCAATGGGGAACCCCAGGGAACTTTCCTCTTCAATGGCCCCAAAGATCTAAATAAAACAGACAGGATTTAACTGTATGCAGATGAAGTGACACAGCACACAGCACACATGGCTGGTGGCCCATCAAAACCAAGAGCTCCAGAAAGAACAGGTCTGAGAGCCCTAGAAACCCATCCTGAGGATACTTCATCCATCTAGGAAAAACCCTCGCCTGCTGCTCTTCCCTCTTCCAGACTAAATCCAAAGGAGGTCAGGAATAGGGACAGAGGACATGAGGCAGAGAGTCACTCCAGGGCCCCAGGAGCAAAAGCCTCAGGAGCATTGCCTCTGGATGCTGGCATTGTACAGGAACTGATTCTGCACATGTGTTTGTGGTCAAGGCCTCATCACTAGTTTTTGTTTTTCAAAGTACAATATGGGAGCAGAGAGAAGCTGAGGCAAAGAAATTGCTTTGCACAAAGGGTTCTACAGCTTTGATTTCTAACACAGAGTCCGTGCCAGGCAGACATCTCGCTTCGCAGGCAGGATACAGCACAAATGCCAGCAGAGGCTGGCTTCCACGCAAGGGACCTGGCGTACCTTTAGCATGTGGGTGAGATACAGGGCAACGCTCTCCAGCAGAGCCCGGTTGGGCCTCCTCCTGGCAGCCTTGCGGGCCGCCATATAGAGGTTGCACTGACTGACCAGGCTCCGCATTTCCTCCATGACAGTGCGGGTATCAACGTTATCACAGAGGGCTTTGTGTACTGCCATCTTCTTGTCATAAAAGCTGAGCGAGAGAGAGAGAAGAAATATAAATGATCAGAACGACACTAGGCAACCGCAGTTCTCCACCAGGTTCGACAGCCAGAGCAGTCCACCAGGAGGGGCAGCACATGCTGCGTGGCTTGCAGGATGTGACAGTGCTGACCTCCTCCGCTGCCACCAGGGCAGAACACGCTCATGCTCACGGCCCCACAGGAAAGGCCCCATCATACTTCTTATTCAGCTCTGCCTCTTCATCTTCCCACTTCTCAAACTGCCCGGTGATGTCAACGGGAGCACGGAGGATGTCTTTCACATTTAGGAAAAACTCCTGAAGTTAGAAAAGGCAACATTTCCATCTGCACATTTCAGATGAACTGTTCTCTTGAACTGATTTTACTTTGGGCAAATACTGAAGGACCACAATACACAAGACCACATTACACAAGAGGCCTCAAAGAAAGTGAAAGCTCTTTTATTGGGACAGAAACTGTTCCTACTTCAGCCTGCGAGATATTTGCTCAGCAGGAAGCCCTGAGTGACAGAGTGACATGTGCCTTCCATAGGAGAAACGTGACCTCTTCAACTCTCCCAAGCTGTGTGACAATTTAGGGAAGTGGCACCCAAGTTCTGACTTTGGTCACAAGAATGGTATGCCAACCCACCATGTGACCACAGTACCCTCACGCTAGCAGCAGCCAGTGCTGACCTCACAAGAGCTGAGGACTTACATTCATGAACTTCTCATACTGTAGTGCTGATTCCATGGTGTTGCTTGAATAATCCAGAGTGTCCTTCCAGGAGTGCATAAGGAAGGCTAGCCGCAGCTGCCGCGCTGAGGGGACACACAGCACAGGGATGCCGTTACTCCTGGAGAGGCCACCATCATCGTGCATCTGTGTGAGGTCCCATGAGTCTCCAGGAGAAGTCACACTTACCTGAATGCTTCTTCAAGGCATCTTTGATGGTGATGAAGTTTTTTAGTGATTTTGACATCTTACAGCCTGCAATCGTTAGGTGACCTGTATGCAGGAAGTACCTGACCCAGCAGTCATTTTCAAAGTAGGCCTGTGAGGAAAGAGACAGGAAGGATGGTGCGGCAAGTGCCAGGGGAGTGCCTGACTCTAAAGGCGCTGTTGTCTAGCTTGTGTGCACTGTCTTGCAGTAGCTGCTGCCTTTCACAGATGGGACAGGTGGGGCTTGAAAGGACTGCCCCAGGTCACCTGCCAGCAGGTAACACAAGTGGCTTAAATGTGAAGCTGTCTGTTGCCAAAGGCTGGCCTGTTCAGGTGAAGTGATCAAGATTCAAACTGTCTGCAGATCCTGGAACAGGCAACAAGTTCTAGCAGGAAGATCCTTCCTAAGGGCTGCTGAGACTCTTCCCCAGGCCATGACAAAGACACTGTGGCCTGCATCTAGAGAGGTGACCATGTTTACTTACCTCTGACTGCGCCAGCTCATTGTCATGATGTGGGAACCGGAGGTCGAACCCTCCTCCGTGAATGTCCATGGAGGCTCCCAAGAGCGTGCCTGCCATGGCAGAGCACTCGATGTGCCATCCTGGGCGGCCCTGGGGAAGGATGAAGGGCTCTTGCTGACCAACCACACTACCCACTTAGACCTTCACTGCTCCAAGTTAATAGGCCCTAAGCCTCCTGAATGTCATGGCAATAGGAACTCAAATCCACCCATGGAAAGATGAAAAACAACCTCTTAAGGAGTTCGACACTGGTCTTCTGCTGGTCAAGGCTTTGCTGAAGTCTAGGAATTCCTCCCAGAACCCCCAGCACTCAAAAGTGAGGAAGGGGAGCAGGACAGAGGGGAAGTAAAAATGATTAAGATGAGGTATGTGTACACACCAATTCCCCAAGATAAGTATAATTACTATGCATCACAAACATATTCTAATTTTTTAAAAAGTGGCAGCTGGCCATTTCCCTTCCTGCAGCACTCTGCAGTGGGGCCTGTGGTCACAGGAATGTCATGGGGTCACCTTGCCTTCTGGAGTCAAGAAAACTCAGCTTAGGAGTCACAATACATCAGAACTAAGGAGGCTTGGAGGCAGCTGAATGTGACCACACTCCAACTCACAGAGAGGGAAACTGAAGTCTCAGGAAAACAAGTGGCTCATCCAGGGACCCAGGAAATCTCTGTGATGTCAGGTCTCCTAGCCCTGCGGTTCTGCACTGGGGGTTCAGCAGGCAGTGTCCCAGTGCAGAGCCACCTCTCAGGGAGACCTCTTAAGAGTATGACTGATGGGACTGTCCTACAGTACGGTCTCTTCCCACCACGCCCAGCCTCATGCCATCTCGGCCCCTCACTTACCTTCCCCCAGGGGCATGGCCAGGAGGGCTCTCCTGGCTTGGAGGCCTTCCACAGGGCGAAGTCATTAGGGGAGCGCTTCTCACTCAGGCGGTCTGCAGAGACGCTCAGGTCACCTGTGAGTGAGCAAGGGAAAGGGGAAAGTGACTCAGTGGCAAGCCCCCACACCAATGCCCACCCTGCAGCAAGCCTTCTTCATTGGCTTAGTAGCTTGGCTCGGGCGCTCCCAAGCGTGCCGGCAGAAACCAGAGCCAACCTGTGCCTAGATAGGTGACACTGCTCATCAGCTCCCAAGCCAAACTCCTGTGCCAGATTGGCTGTAGCCCCAGGGCCTATGGCTGCACTCACCTCTCCATGCCCCCCACAAGTAGATCGTTGGCCTCTGGATGTGCACTTGTATAGAACATTCCTGTGGGCTCCAGCCTTCTTGCTGGAGCCTTTGGATCTTTAGCACGGACAGACCCTTTATGCTCTTCTACGTTTCACTCTGTGGGTAGCACTGTAGGTCAATTGTGTAATTTCTGTGTCTTACATTAAATCTGATTCAGAACATGTCCAGTCTTTTCAGGAGCCTTGCCCCAGCCCTGCAAGATCTTGTCAGCACTGACTAATACAAGCCTCAAACTGTTTGGTGAGTTGGCTGAGCTAAGACGTCCTGCTCCAGCAAAGCACCCCAGGACCAGCTCTGGTCTTTGAGGATCTGCTTGGCCCTGCATCTTCCCCCAAGTGCTATCACTGTCAGTGGAAAGACCCAGAACAGGAAGGTGGTTCTGTCCCAGAACCCCAGCTTGTGCCTCCAAGTGCTGCTCCAACTTTGGAGAAGCCAAAGGCAAAGGGACAGTACTTTCCTAGGGGGTGGCCGGGGGAAAACAGTGCTGAAGTTGTTCTAAAACACAGGCGTGTGACAACAAAACCTGTTCCATACTGCACATGGAGCACATGAACAGGGCTACATGATCATCATCTTTGAACCCAGGAATAATTACTGCTTATATTGCAGTGTAATGATTTACATACAGCATGTAGGACAGACCCCACCCTTGTGTCCAGCTGTCTCCTGCTGCTCTGCCACCAGTGGTTGTCCAGAAGCATACCTGACCTGGCTCTGTGACTTTTTTTTAGCCACCCTTCACTTGTCAGATAATAGATAGCTAGATTTCTGTTGCCCAGCTGAATACTTACTCAAAAATGTTTGTGTCTGATTTTTTTTTTTTATCTTTTTATCGGTACCGGGGATCGAACTCACAACCACCTGCTTGCAAGGCAGGTGCTTATGCCGCTGAGTTAAATCCCCAGCCCCCTGATTTCTTTTTAAAAGTAATGAAAAATTTATAACAAAGATGTCACTGTTTGATGTTTGCTAGCTTTTTTTTTTTTTTTAAATTCAGAACTGAGACTGGAACCTAAGGCCTGATGAGTACTTGGCAGATGCTGTACCACTGAGCCTTACCCCCAGGCCTTGTTCCAAATTTGTTAAGAGAAATAAATTACATAATCCGTTTTGTTCTCTCCTTCTTGGTCTCATTTCCTGTGACCTCACGGGCTTGCAAGGTGTTCACTGGAGGCCGGGCTCCTCTCAGGAGCTGCTGTCACCTGGTTTCCCCAGTGTGTGCACTGAGTATGTAGAATGAAAGTTCTAGAGTGGTAAGGGCCCCTACCACTTGATTTTTGTTGCTGCTCACTCTTACTTAGAGTGAGCAGGCTATCATGAGACCACATGCCTGGTATCACCTGCCCCCTTCTGTGCCACCTGAGTCCCTGAAGATCAGTGGCGGGGACAGCATAGAGGAAAAACTACACCAAGTGCTTTAGTGAGTGGTGTGGGCTGTGAGGAGGTCTGATGGGGTCACAAGGCAGGTGGCAATGTCCTTATGGGCATTGGGCTCTACACCTACTGTTCTCAGAATCTGAACTCTAACTGTAAGGTTAGTTTAAGAGAACAGGTCCAAGAATCAAGGAAAAGGACAGCCAGATGGGGTCCCACAGCAAGAATCAAGTGCTGGGGGTCCTCACCACTCTGGAACTTTCCTTCTGCATACTCATTTGCTGGTCTTCACCCCTGCCTCCTATGCTGGGCCTGTCTCTCTTGGTATATCCACATCGCCACAGCGTGCTGCCACAGTTCCCTCTAGGGACTTATAAAACGCTCTTATATCTACAGATTTATTCTGTTTCCATCCTATAGGCTGCAAGTGTTCCTACTTTATTAATCTTTGTGAAGAACCAGTTTTGGCTTGTTAAAGTATTTCCATCTCAAAACTCTGCCATTAGTTTTATTCCTTCCCCTGCTTTCTATCCGCTTGGTGCTTTTCTTCCTTGGCTTTCTGCCTGACTTCCTGGCTCAGTATTTCCTCCTCTGTTTATTCACAGCCCCCCTTCACCCTCCCGGCGTTTGGGCACCCCTTCAGGACTGTGAGTGCTTTGGCTGTCATCCAACTTTGACCCTCCCTGTGTTCCTCTGCAGCTTCCCTCCTTTGAGGAACTTAGGAGCATAAACCTCCAGGTGGGTCTGTAAATCTCACGTGTCCCCTAAAGTCGGCACCTCACCCAACTGCCCTGTGCTGGGAGAACCTGGTCTCCATGAAAGCAGTTCTTTGGGACGGCGTAGATTGCCTTCTGCTGTCTGGCATGTGGTCTACGTGCTTAAAAGAAATCTTAGACTGCACCTGTTAACTGTATTCCAAGCTTTCATGCCCTGATTAATTCCTGGCCTGCTATCACTATCCACTCTGAGAAGTGTACAAACACAGGTGTGCTGGGCTCTTTCGGTTCCTGGAATGTGGGGCGGTCTGGGGTTGAGTCCTCTTGGCAGACAGATTCTTTATCACTATGAACTTACCTGTTTCACATCTATAAATCAACACTGGAGTCTTAAATTCCATTGACATTTCTGTTGTTAAACTGGCTCAGGCTTTTTCTAGTGTCTGTATTGTCTTATTTGGTTTTAGACTCTGATTTTCAAAACTACAGTCCTAAAGGTCAAAAGTACTTGATTGAAATGTGCGTTTTAATGACCAAACTGCCTCTCAGAAACATGGAGGCAGAAGGAAACCGTCTGATGTAACAGCAATCCCTTCTCTGAAGTGATCTCTTCAGCTTGGATTCTAGGTATATCCTCACGCCCACTCATGGGGAAGTATGGAGAAAATGCTTATGCAAGTTTGAAATGTGATTCTGCTCAGCCTGCCAAAAATTTAACTCTCTGTTTAAAATATCTGAATCAAGATTATCAAATATGAGGCTTGGGATTTAGCTCAGTGGCGTAAGCGCCTGCCTTGTAAGCAGGCAGTCGTGAGTTCGATCCCTGGTACCAATAAAAAGGAAAAAGACAAAAAAAAAAAAAAAAAAAAAGATTATCAAATGTGAGTCACTCTGCACATATCCGGGCGCCTCAGGCCACCCCAACCTCACATATACAATTACACCATCCTGGAGAATCAGCACCCTGTAGGTACTATGCACCTACACAGACCATTGGCAGGATGCACAATGGTCTCTCTTTGTTTCTTAAGAAGCAATGCACATTATCTCTATGTGTGAAAAACCTCTAAAATTCCCACAGGAGAAACTTTATAATTCCCAGTGAATGCCTGTGATGGGCTCAGGACACCATGGTGGCCGTGAGGTAAACCCTGCTCAGGTATGTGTGAGGAAGAACTCCTCACTTGTGCATTGTGTTGTGTATTTACCTTCCCCTTCCTGAAGAGCTTTCTGGTCCCCAACAGCTTCAGGAACCAGCTTCCCATAGGAGTGTTTCTCACTGGAAGCAAACTTCACCGTGTCGAAGTAGACAGACCCATTAGATGCATAGCTAGAAAGTAACAGAGGAACCAGGAGGTCTAATGGTGTAGCAGGAAATGCTCCCCCTCCACTCCGTCAGTGTGTATCAGTTTCTCAGTTCCCCAGGTAATAGTTCCTGTTATAACTCCGGTTGTTCCTGTCTCTTACAAACAGCTTGGTCACTGTGATACACAGCTGGTTACTACAATGCACACTGTATAAACCAATCCTCAATGGATAGTCATTCTCCCTCTGTGTTTCCCCATTGCTTATCTCAAGATCAAGGCCTGATATTTTGGTACTGGGAATTGAACTCAGGACCTGAAAATCACTGGAGGCTGGACAGTCACAAGGTGTAAGGTTCACCCCAGCCTTTCTCCTGCTTTCCCTGTGGATATCCTGAGCCCACAGTAGCTGTTGTGGGCTGAGTGGAGCAAAGAGGACGCCTCCCACAATGAAGGTGGCTTCCTCACTGCCTGACAGCATGTTCTGCCTGGTGTTCTGGGGCCATGCAGTTCTAGCTTGGCCTTACCAGGTGATGACACGGCCCTGTGTGGCATACCTGTCTCCCCCTGAGTCTGCACTCTATCACCTGCTGGCCCTGCCATGACTCTCTAGAAACTTCCAGGTCTCCTGACCCAGGCTTATCCATGCAGCTCAGCTGACCACAATCTTATGCTGCCTGGCAGTGACCTGGGTTAAAAGGGGAGAAGGGCAGCACTATCCCTTCAGAGTTGGTGCTGATGCAGGCACCTCGCACACAGTCCTCACTCCTTCATCTAATCTGCACAGCTAGTTGGAGAGGGAAGCGACCTGAGGCTGGGTCCAGGGCCCCCACCAACAAGCAGGCTGGCCCTCCTTGAGTAGGATGGAGCAGGTAGGGCCTGAGTGCTGCCTACAGAGACCTAGGTTTGGCTGTACTCCCACCAGGGCCTCCTTTTGTGAACATTAACTTTCAAGCTGTAGGAAGTGTTTCTTGTGGTTGTGTTGGAGTAGACACCCAGTGCAGGATGACGTGTGTGTTAAAATTATAGCAACGAGGACACTGAAGAAATGCATACACCCTTGGGAACAACACACCAGGATGCACAATCTTAGAGCGTGCAAGTGATGCTGATGTACCCAAAGGCCCACGGTGTCCAAGTTCCTCACGATGCTGCTCTGGGACTACTATCCATGGCCTTAACGGCCCAGTTTCCTAGAAGACTTTGGGCCAAGTCCCTCCAGGGGCATTTCCACAGGGTGCTAGATCCATCTAGAGATGCTGATCAGCCAGATGCAAGCTCTTCAGCCCTGGGCTCAGCCAGAGAGCAAGAGGAAAACTGCTGGGGGCTCTGGAACAGGCTGGAATATGGGTCACCTGTTGCCTCTTGCTTCTGGCCTCCAGCAATGTGGTGGCATCTGTATGATTAGACACCTGTTATACCTATGATAGGTGCTATGAAATAAAAACCCCAAGGGCTTTGTTTTAAAACAAACTTAGGGGCTGGGGATTTAGCTCAGCGGCATAAGTGCCTGCCTTGCAAGCAGGCAGTCGTGAGTTCGATCCCCGGTACTGATAAAAAGGGAAAAAGACAAACAAAACAAAACAAACAAACTTAAAATGAGGCAACAACCCCAGGAGCTACATGCAAAGCAAAGTGCTAGCTGGGAATGAACGTGAAGGTGTGGTCAACCCCCCCAGTAATCTCAGAACTCAAGTGGGCCTGCATTGTGGACCTGAAGTTGGGGAGCTGCTCCCCCTGGAATGGTGAGAGGTAGAGGCAGAGCAAGGCCCTGTCCTGTGCTTACCCATAACCATTGTCCACAATCTTCTGGACGAAGTCCACAATTTCTGGCACATACTCACTGACCCGGGTTAAGACATCGGGAGGGAGGACCTGTTGGTGACAAAAGAGAGGCTCAGCATTGTCCCTCTCAACATTTCTGCTTCCTGTGAACACGGTCCATGAAAATGATGTTGCTGATTTACAAAACAAGAACCCTGCATGGTGTAAGGAATAAGTGATTATACTGGGTCTGGGGTAGAGGGGGTCCCCATCTGCTGACCACTGGGCTGCTCTAGGACAGGGCTCACCAGAGTTTCTCTGCTCCACTATCTATCTGTGTCCTAAGCCAGTGGCTTTAGCTGAGTCTTGGGTCCACTGCCTGTAAAATGTGAATCATAAGGTCATAGCTGTCCCCAGGATGAATTACAGAAAGAGCTGCTTCTTCCCTGTCCTTGACATGCTTGGGGATCTGTGGGCACTCCCCCTTCCCAGTCTTTTCTTTCCTCCTCCCTACCAGAGGTCTCAGGAAGCGATAATGATGATTCTAACAAGGGCTTGCCTTGCAATAGTTTTCCAATCTCAGAGTTCTGATTTACCTTCTGGGCATCCAAATGGGCAAGGCATAGAGACAATGAAAGTAAAAATTCTACATACAAAAAAAAAAGCCCTCTCCTGCTTTAGTTCAACACTGACTTAGCCACTTAACTGAGCCTGCAGAATGAATACACTGTGGATCACATGAGGGTTTCTGGCTTTACCAGAAAGGAAGATAGAAACTGAGGCCTGTGACCTGAGAGAGCAGAGAAGGGGCAGGCCAGGACACTCACATTCAGTGCTTCCATGTCTTTGTGGAATTCTTCTTCCCAGAACTTGGGTAGTTTGTAGAAAATGGAATTGTCAGTCACTTCGCTGCCACATGTGGAATCTAGCCAGTCAGAAAGCAAGTCCTTGGCCTCTTCCATCAATACCTAACCGACAAGAAACAGAACATCCAATGTGACCTGGTTTCCATGAGCACACCTATGTAATGCAGGTGGTGTGAGCCATTCAGGTCCCAAACTCAAAGACATGCAATGACTATACCGTGTTCTATAAGGAGCCATCATCTCTGGGGGACAGTGATGCTTACATGACCAGTTCACTGTAACTGTGCCCCCTGAGTGTGCCCCATGTCCCTTGAACCCTTGCCCATATATCTACTGGCACTAAGAAACATATTCCAACTGCATTCTCATCAGTTATTGAGGACATACCAGTCCTCAATCTCTCTTGGAGGAATCTAACATTTTTAGCTTTTTAGTTTAACCAGTAATGGGCATGTGGGGCCACCCAGGCAGTCTGCTTTTGAGTAGGAGGAACAAAAGGTGAGAGAAAGTACAGGAAGATGATCCAGCAGAGAATGGGGACACACGGGGTGGACAGAGCACCCAACAGGCTGGCAAGAAGGGGAAAAAGATACTGCATGGGTCAGTCTATGATGCATGCTCTGGCGATAGCTCCTGGTCAACATAGTACAATTGGCTAAAATGTGGCTGGACTTTGCCTGGCAAGGCGAGCACGTAGGATGCTCTGATCCCTCTCCACTGTGGTGGAGTGCCAGGGGAGACGGGGAGAAAAGGCTCAGCATGCCAGGAAGGCAAGGACTGTCTGTCCATCACTGTCTGGAAAGCAGACACAGGGCCTGCCCCAATTGCAGGCACAGAAACCTCCCAAAGATGGCCCCAAATGGACGTCAGACCATGACCCAGCAAGAAGGAAATCCTAGTTAAGGTCACCATACGCCCAAGGATGGGCAACCGTGAAAGAAGTCTGCAGAGACAACACCTGAAAGGCTTCTGATGTGACAGCTGTAAGATGCATAGGAAAAACAGCAAGGCCAGGTGTTCGAGAAACGAAGGAGGAGCAGAGTAGTGACTAACAGCAAGTCATCATGCACTGTGCTGCTCGAGAAGGGGTAGTGTAAGTCCAGGTTGCCCGGTTATACACCCATGCTACCATGTCCAGCTGAGCGTCAGAGAGCAGGCGGAGAAGGAGCCCGACCTGGCACATGAAAGGAGTGAACCAACAGCAGTGGTAACCACGTGAAGGCCAAAAGAAAACCAAGACAGCAGTGGTGCCACAAGTCTGACAAGTAGCGTGACAGAGCCCAAGCACCAGAGGGCAAGGTGGGATCTCATACAGGTACTCCAGACACGTGCTGGTAACAAGCTATTCCAAAACCACAGGCCACCAAAGTGAAGGAGAAGGACACAGGTTAGCAGTTTGGCCTCTGTGGGAAAGGTGGTGGCATGTAGACCCCCAGGCTGGTGCCAATCAGCCAGCTGTGAATATTTCCAGGAACTGTGTTACAGGCCAGGAAGTTGCCCCTTCAGGTTAACAAGAGGTAAAGAGCTGAACCCAGAGAACATGCAACACTCTTCTTAGGCCTAGAGAAGTGCAGTTGGCAGACTGTGCCCTAACTGCAGAGAGGTGAGGTCACATGGCAAATGGCAGCCCCAACCACAGAGAGGAGGGAACAGAGAAGCGGAGCTCCCTGGGCAGACTCACGGGCAGGGAACTTCTACAGGCTCAGTGTGGGGCGGGAAAGCTACAGCTCTACCTGGGGAACTACTGAGGCCTCGGGATGCCATGCCTGAGAATTAAAATCTCCAAGGGGAACCCGTCACAATTGTGACCTCCCACAAGTGTTACCGTGTCATCAGGATAAACATAGAGAAAAATATGCTTTCATGCTTCCAGCAGGAAGGGAGAGGAACATGTCTGTCTGTTTCAGGATACTGAGGATTTAACTCAAGGCCTTTGTATTCAGCCACATTCTTAGGGTTTTTTTTTTTTTTTTTTTTTTTTTTTTGAGATAGGGTCACTAACTTGCCAAGGCTAGCCTTGAATTTGTGATCCTCTTGCCTCACCTCTGAGTGTGAGGATCATAAGTATGTGGTGCCCTATGCCTGGCTAGGAGAGGCAAGATCCTAAAATATACCAGTATGCTCCATTTTTCTTAATAAATTTTGCCTGCTATGATCTGTAAGAATCATATGCTGAGAACTTAATTCCCAATGCAATAGTGCTAGAGGTGGGGCCTACCAGTAGGTGTTTAAATCAGGTCTCTCTCAACTGCAGTGCACTCTCTTGCCCTTCCTTCTGCCAGGGGCTGATAGAGCGATAGCACCTTGCTCCAATCAAAGGCCTTGATCTTGGACTATTTGGGGAAGGTGATACAGTGCTCAAGATGGATGGTGGAGACAACCACATAATAATAATGTGAATGTGTCTAATGCCCTGGAAGTGGTTAAAATGGTAGCTCTCGTATTATGTATGAATATTTTGCCATAATTCCTTTAAGAAAGGATATTAGAGGAACAATTGGGGAAAAGGTTTTATGGCAGACCTGCAGGTGACAAAGAAGCCTGACAGTATGTCCCGGCAGTACAGGTGAGCGGCTCAGCCCGAGGCACACACTGGAGGAGGAGCAGTGCTGTGCAAGGCCTGTCTCAGCAATGAGGCCCACATGAAGCAGTGTCCAAGGACTGCACATGTGGCTCAGAAATGGCCACACCAGCCAACTGTTATGTGGCCCAGAAGAGTTAAAACTAAAAAAAAAATTAAAAATTAAAAATAAAAGAGCTAAAATGGTACACTAAGGTGGGGAGCAGAGGACAGGGAGAAATAGTGGACAAAAGACACTGAGAAGGTTGATGCTGTTATGTCCTGGAGCTCGCACCATCTCTTGCAAAATCAAACTACTGTTTTCTAATAGGGGAGCTCAATTTATCTCCAATGATTTACCAGCAGGGGGTGCTGGCGGAAAGGAGACGGACCTTCCTGTGATTAGGTGGCTGGGAAGGCCTGGAGGAACAGAGCTGGGCACCCTGCCAGGGATCTGAAGAGAACATGCCAGCCAGTGAGACAGCCCAGCCCTGCAGGTACCCATGAACTGGCTGCTTACTTCAACTTCAAACCTGGTTTCTTTCTTCACCTGCTGCCACTAAGAAATGCAGAGAATGGTTCACTGGAATAATTAATTCCACCAGAAGGCTGCTGCTCTCATTGTAAATGAGACTGCAGGGAAGTAGCATGAAGATGGGATCCCAGAGGAGCCCAGTTCCAGTGCAGTGGCCCTGAGCTCTGAAACCAGGAAATGGGGCTGCAGGTATGGAATGGGAGGGGCACTGACTAAGCCACCGAAGAATGGGGCCAGCGGCCACTGAGGAGTTACAGAGCTGTAGGCCAGGGCATTTCACTGCAAGATGCAAACAATCCAGGGCAGAGCAGGTGTCCTACACATGAAGAGCTCACCTGAGCAAGACTGTCCACTTCCTCCCCGGGAAGGCTGGCATGCACAGCTCGCTCGAGTGGCTCTGTGGCCAGCTCCACTGCATGCTGAATTCGCTCCAGCATCTGCCTCTTGTCTGGATCCGTGGTCTCATGCAACTTCTCTGTAAACGGCTACAACCATAAGCACATAGTACCTGTTAGATATTGTATGGAAACCCGGTGCATGGAGCTGGGTCAAGTAGATGAGACCTGAGCCCCCAGCCTAGGCAGCCCTGGGACTACCCCTTTCCCACGTGACTGGACAGGCCGTATCAGTGTGCCGAGTCTGGTTCATCCATGCAAAATGGGGGTGACAGCTGTGCTGTGACCTTGCTTTGTGGAAAAAGCAAGGTGGTGCAACCAGCGAGCCCTGTGGGCCTGCAAGATGGTTACACTCTAACTTCACGCCTTTGCTCTCTTCAAGATAAAATACCATAAACATACCAGTAATTACCAAAGGAAACTAGTATTTATTAAAGAAAATAAAATGACATGAAGGACTGTACATTTATGATGCTTATTGAGTGAAATTATTAAATTGACAAGAATTAAATTTTTTTAACAGTACTAAAAATTTATGGTACTGGGAATGTAATAATGGTTTTAAGAAGCTTAGCATAGCTTTTGCTTTTGAGTTAGAAGTGAGTATCAGATTGGTTGTGATCTTGACATGGAGGACTTGAGAGTGATACAGTGAAGTTCTTTCAAGAGCTGAGATTAGTGGATCAGACATTTCCTGTAAATGGCAGAAATGCCACCTACATCTACACCATATCCTTACACATTTGTCCTGGTGACCTCAGACTTGAAGGGTCACACCTATGGAGACATCAGTACTCTTGAAGGAATCAGGTTGGGTACTGCTTTGTGAGAGTCTTCCCAGACAGGCCACCCAGGGGACAATGACATTATCTTTGGATACTGACCAAAAGTCATGAGCAGAGACAATGACAAGGGGACACAGGGGCACAATGTCTAGGCCAGAGGTAAGGGCTCACCTTAAGGGCAGCGTGAACATCCTCTAGGAGCTGGGAGGCCGGAGGCTTCCGATCCCGATACTGCTCGAACAGGTAGTTCTGCCGGGCCCTCCTGATGATCTGCAGAGAGAAGAGAACCATCCACACTCAGAGCCACTCCCAGGCACATGCACCATGCTGGTCTCACCTCAGCAACTGAGCGGGGATAAGGGTGGTGTGGGGATAGCCACAGGGCCGAGTCCGTGCAGCACCGAGGGATACCAACACTGCCCTCCCACCTGCCCAGCAAGGCTGAGGTCTATGAACTTCTGGGTGCCAAGGAACAAGCCCGAGTTGGCTTCCCTACAGAACCACACAGAGCTGGCCTTGCTTCCTCAGACCTCAGGGGGGTCGTACTTAGCCAATGTAGTACTTCAACGTGTGGCATCTATGTACACACAAATGACCCTACACGTTCATGAATTGTAAAATCACTTCATCGAGAGGATTCATATGTTTATAAGTCAGCTCTGAGCTCAAGTCTATGACGTTTCACCTATTCCTCTGAAAGACCTATCTCCACACATGGTATCCGCTTATATTTTAATGAATTAATTTTTGTGTTTTTCTGTGACAGGGTCTTGATACATAGTCCAGGTGGGACTTGAACTCACTATGTATCATCCCAGGCTGGCCTTGAACTCAGGGGGATCTTCCTGCCTCAGCCTCCCAACTGCTGGGACTACAGGCTTGTGCCACCATGCCTTGCCTGTATTTTAATTTTAACTTTTTTTTTTTACCTTATCATCAATGTCTGTAATGTTCATACAGTAAAAGACATCATACTGGAAATAATCCTTTAACACTCTTCTCAAGATATCAAAAGAGATATAGGACCTAAAGCAATGAAAGAACACATTTATGATCAGTACACACTGTTTATACAACCTCAACAGCACTGCAACTATGACATTTACAGGCAGGGGATCCCTAATCTTAAAACCCACATTGCTCCCAAGGTGTGTTTGTTTTGTTTTGCTTGGTCATATTGAGAATTGAACCCAGATCCTATCACTAACCCACATCCTCAGTCCTTTTAAAAATTTTATTTTGGAAGTTGGGTGTGGTGGAACATGAACTCTGGGTGGCGGAGGCCATATCAGCAATTCAGCAAGAGCGTGTATTAAAATATAAAATAAAATCAGGTGTGGGCAGCACATGCCGGTAATCCCAGCACTTGGGAGGCTGAGACAGGAGGATTGCTGAGAATTCAAAGCCAGCCTAGGCTTCACAGTGAATTCAAGGCCAATTTGAACTACATGGTGAGACCTGGTCTCAAAAAACAAAACAAACAAACAAGAAACCCAATCAAGGGGCTAGGGATTTAGCTCAGCGGCATAAGTGCCTGCCTTTGCAAGCAGGCAGTCATGAGTTCGATCCCTGGTACCGATAAAAACGAAAAAGACAACAACAAAACAAACAAACAAACAAACAAAAAGAAACCCAATCAACCACCAACAAACTCATAATATATATACATGGCTTGGAGATGACACTGAAGTCGAAGGCCCTTGGTTCAACCCCTAGAACTGAACAGGAAAACATTTTTTTGAGACAGGGTCTCAAATTGGCCTTAAATTCATGGTCCTCCTGCCTGGGCATCTCAGTCAGGGACACAGGCATGACCTACTGTACTTAGTGGAAAACCCCAAGTTTTCTGAGTATCCTTGCGAAATCGAAAATCCTACACTGTTTCATGCACAAATTAAAGATACTGCGTATAATAATTGCTTTCAGCCTATGTATATGAGGCACACATAAAACACACATGAAAATGCTCTAAATGTTGCAGAATTCCAAATGAGGAAAAAAAAAAAAAATCCAAGACACTTTGGCCCCAAGCATTTCAGATGAGGGAAACTCAACTTACACTGCCAAAGAGTTCTGCGGCCTCTATCCCAGGAGCCATCTACTCTTGGTGAGCCACACCCACAGCACCTAGAGGAGGGTCAGAGCCCAGCCAGCCTCAGGTGTGTTGTCAGGACAATTCCCCCCAACCCCCACCAGGGACCCTCAGAGCTGGGGAAATGAGGCAAATGTTGGAAATAGCAGCCACAGGGTTCTGGGCCATTTTCCTTTTGAGTTGTTTTCATCTTTCGGCACAAGCGTGGGCTACTCAGGGCTTTAGACCCTACCTGGCATGTCCCATGTGAGATGCATCATAGACAGTCGGCCCACAGCAATACCACGTCACCTTTTTCCCATCTTGAGGTATGAACACATCCTTGTTAGAAACGAAGGAAGGACGATCACAAGAAATTCCAGAAACACTGTACAGGAGCACCAAAAGCAGTAACAAACATCATGCTGGTTTGTTCTGTTTTGCACCAACAGATTCGATAAGAACCATTTCATTTCACTGAACAAGTCACACTGGTCTGGCAGGGGTCTAGGGAGAGCATCCTCGGCACTGTCTAGGATTTGAGCACTGGCAGCTCGACGCCCTTTATCCCTGGGATCCTGCTCCTCTTTGAAGAGTTTTGGTAAAGGGAACAACACTTCTCTGTCTAGTGGAAATGCTGTTCATTTACCAACCACAGCTAACAGTTACTGCCCTCCATGAGGTACTCACGCTCCCAGGGGGCCAGCACTGCTGTTTTCTTCTCCATGAAAGACACAGAGGCTGAAGGCCAGTGGCCAGGGTCTCTCCCTCCTGGGGGAGTCAAGGTTGGAGACCAGAAAGCTCCAATATTTTCAGATCTCTTGGGGCAGTTGTGACCAATGAGTTTCATACAGAGACAATGAACTGCTCCATACTTGTCCTCCTGCCCTATTAAGCGTTGATTAAAAATAATTAGGGCTGGAACCTTTTCTAACAGCCTCAGCCTGAGCAAGACAAACCAAGCAGAGCTGGTTCAGTGAGCAGCTACATCTGCCTTCTCTGCTGCTCCAAGAACACCTGACAGGTTTGCCCGTGCCCGTTCTGTTTAGCTTGCAGCAATGCCTGCTGAACTTGTGTCCTGAGAGCACCCCAACATTTGGCCTGACTGTGAGTGAGTTCAGCACTTAGTCATGGGTACAGCCAGCTAGACCAGCAAGGTAGTTCAGGCCGAGTGCTGGTAGACAGGCTTCTGGAAGGCATCATGCATGGTGTCAAGTGTCTCAACTTTGCCTGAATTAAAGGCCACAACACAGGAAGTAATAGAAGGATCCTGAACCTGGACTGAGGCATTCTGGAACCTGCAGCGAACAGACAGCTTCCTCCTGGCCAGGGCCAAGGATGCCATGATTCCTGGGTGCGCTGCAAATACACATGCTGCCTGGCCCTCCTTACCTTGTTCCGTGTGAGGCTGTTGTACAAGCGGAGCTTGCATGGCTCAGTCCCGGCTGGAGGGGACCACTGAGGCTGCACTCGCCGGCCTTTACCTGGAGGCAGAGTAGACAGATCACATGCAGCACCCACGAACAGTGACCACTAAATTGTGAGACCTGGTTTCTACAAAGGAACTGCGATTTTTAATGCAATGTTAAGCAATATGAATCTAGCTTTGCTCCCACGCTGTGTGGTGGCATGAACCTCCAGCATGACTTGAGGCATGCCCACACAACATGTTCCTTTGCCCCCGAGGTGGGCACCCCCCACCACCATGCAGTGTGGTCAGGGGCTCGCAGGTCAGGCCGAGCGCGGTGTTCCCTGACCCCTGGCTGCTGTGCTGTTACTGGAGCTGTGATGTTGCAACCCTCGCTGCCCCTAACTTGCCCTCTTCTGCACGAGGTGAGTTGTAGACAGTTTGTGGGACACAGGTGACCTCCAAGCCTCTAGCTGCAACAGAGGCGAGGGGTCAGGGCACAAACAGCTGTGCCTCGTGGTCACAGCAGGTCAGGATGAGATCAACCTTCAGCCTCTATCTTTGATTACCCAGGTGCCAGTGCCTGGCTGTTGGTGTTGACCCTGTAATCATGCAAATTCTGATCTTCAGACACAACCCTGTGTCTGTTTCTCACTCCCCCAAGCTGGTCCTCATTGGCTTAGGCCAGTCCCTTTCTCCAGGGATTTCCTGATCTGGGGGCCACCATATAACACAATCTCTTTTTGGCACATGTCCTGGGTCTGTGGACCCCTGCCACTAACACAGATCTGCCTCTGGCCAGTGAAATGCTGTCCTTGCAGCCTGTATCTCAGAGCCCTGAGGAGGTATGACTGTCCTGAGGTTGGAAGAGACCATAGAGTCATTTTTCATACCCCACAGTCTCAGTCTCAAAAAGCTGATCACTGAGCACTGCTGAAGGCTTTCCAACTGTCACAGGCAGGTTCCTGTACCCTATTTTGCTGGCTTCACCCAACCAGCTCCTCAGGGAAATGCAGTTTCTCTCCTCTGCCTTTCCAGTTGGGCCCTGGGTTTGCTGTAGCCTACGCGCCTGTGTATCAGATCCCCAAGCCTCCTGGGGCACAGATTCTTATGTACCTGCAACCCTGCATGGTGCCTGGAAAGCCCTTGCTCACCTCTGCTGAGCCATGGAGGAGACCAACACCAGGGTTCGGTGCTCACATTTTCTTCCCTCCCTACTCTTGTCTCCCTACTCCCCAGACAGCTTGTTTCCTGTCTCTGCCACCTCTGTCTCTTGTGCTGAGGGTGGGGGTGTCTGCCCACAGGTGAGACCATGTCCAGACCCTCCTTGAGTCTCCTGATTGGGGCCAGCAGACTGCCTGCTAATTCCCATCTTGAGAGCCACAGAAGTCTACTCTGGTCTCTACCCTTGCCTAGGCCACATTAGGCAGGTAGGAGGATACTGATAACCAGCAGGGTAAGGGCAGGATGGAAGTCAGCACTCTGTGATGGGGGAGATGGAGGGAGGCAGTTGACAGTGAAGCTATGCTCTTTCCTGCAGGTAAGTTCCAGCCTGACCACAGGTGGCCACAGATTCTGATTGTGGAAAACTGCAAATCCTTAATCGGACATGAAGTGGTCAGTGAGATCACGTACACTCTTAAAAGTTCACTTAAAAGCATCAAATCCACTTAAAGGAAAATCACATTCTACAATTTGATAGTCTGCAATTGATATTTTGAGGCCCTGCCATTCTCCTTCCACTTTGAGGCCCTGTGACACAAGACGCAGCTGTCCTCACAAATGATCAGGGATGCTGCCGCTGCCAAGTGTTGCCATTCTGAGCACTGAAAACAAAGATTTGCATAGGCATGTGCCCGAGCAGCACCCTGGAGTGCTCCAGAGGCACACCCAGCCACACTCAGCTTGCCAATTCCCCTACAGGCTGCCAGCCCCACAGCTGATGACTGGCTTCCAGGACTTCTGGCAGACAGAATTCAGATACGCAAAAGGGAAGTAAATACTGGGAGAGGTGATGCAATGGGCCACGTTTCACAGTGAACCATCCCTAAACCAAGTCATCAGAGTTCATGTTTAGCAACAGTCTTCCACCTCTGCCTGACGCTCCAGGACCTGATGACACCATCAATGCCTCCACCAGTATCAGACTTTGGTTGGGTTTCTTCTGAGACAGTGTCAACCCCACCACAGGTATCTACCCCTGCTAGGCACTGTCTGGACATGTAGACACCATGAAAAACTATTCCTAATCAAACAGCACCAACAGAACAGCTCTACACGGCAGACCAGTCTTGGCCTTCAAGACAGGATGGGAAGATTGAAAGGCAAAGGACAGGGTGGTCACCAGAAACATCCTCAGCTCCTGAGGAACCTCACAAAGGGTGGGGAGTTCCTGCAGAGGACACTCAGTCATGCAGATGAGTGTCACCTGCTAGGGAGGAACACTGAACTTGCACCATCCTAGGGTGTGGCCTTGGGTCTGGCAGACCTATGCCCGTCCTCAGTGAAGGGGATGCCTAAAGCCTTCCTGCACTGAATCCTAGGCCCAGGTGGAAGCTGCCCAAGAGGTTCATGGCCTTGGGAATGAGTGGCCCTCCTTCTGTAGTGGCAGCGAGAAGGCTGATGAGGTAGGAAATAGGCAGAAGGAGCAGAGACAGAGCTGGGCAGGAAGGGGTCTGGCTTCATGGGAAGAGGGCTAAGAGGGTAAAGGAGCCCAGACTCTCGCTGTTTGGGAGGGTCCTTCAGCTGTTGCAGAAGTTGATTTAGAAAAAGGACACAGCTAGACTGACTGAGCAAGAAGGAGCAGTCAGTGAATGTACACAGGGGGCCGGAGGGCAGTGAAGACACTGCAGTGCACCAAAGAGCCGGTGGGCGATGGCCTCCTACTGTCCCACTTGGTGTCGAGGACAGAGGCTGGAAGGGTTAGAAAAGATTTCAGTGCAACAGGGCAGCTATTGTGATTCTTGTTGCTACATGGGGGCAGCTACACAGTTACAACCCAGAGGCGTGGGTTCGGACACTAAACTCTGAAGGTCTGGGCCCTGCCCAAAGGCACTGGACAGTTAAGTGGCAGGCAGGCCCAGGTTTCAGCCCCAACCTTCACCTTCGCCTAGGGCTCTGCTCAGGGGCCAACTGGCCTAACTCATGTCCTTCCTGAACACATGGGCTTTGTGATCAGGGGACTCGGACTTTGGAGGAGGCACCATAATCCTATCAGTGCTGCCCACAGTCTATCCTTCCCCTAACCTGCACCCATCAGGCCACATCCTCACCGGGCTCTGCTGTTAGTGGCTTTCTTCTCCACAGATCAGAAGTCTATGAGGTCCCCTTCACCTCCCAGGTAGGGGCAGAGTGGCTGCGCTGCTCAGGAGAGGAAACTGGCTACACAGCAAGGCCATCCACCTGTACTGGAGGAGGAGGCTGTCTGCTGCCAAAACTTCTAGAAAACCAAGACTTACTCTGACTCCAGGAGACTGGAGACTCCCTCCGCCCAGGTTGACAGGGGGAACCTAGCAGAAGCCTGGCCATGGTGGAGGTCCTAGGCATGTTCCAGATTCCTCACTTCATGTCTGAAAAGCCTCCAGGTCATCAATAAGGACTGCCAGAAGACAGCACTCAGCTCACAACATATGAAGGAGGCAGTGCACCCAAAGCCACAGCGGCCAGGTGCTCAGGGGCCCTGGACAGTGAAAGTCATGCAGCTGAGTTTGTCATGAAGCACAGAAATGAAACTTATTTCTGATTTCTAAAAATATCACTGTCAATTACTATGGCTTTAGGATACAATGACACTACACTTGGAGGGAAACTCTGCAAACTTATGGAAACAATAAAGAAAAGAACCAAACCAGGTCAGGCAAGGTTCCCACTGAGCTAGCTCCAAGGCTGAAAGCCTATATCCTGGCAGGTCACTTGTCCCGGGTGACCCCACCATGGGTAGCTCTACAGTGCCAACAAGAGTACTTTGTTCTCGAAGAACCAACTCCACAGGGCACAATTCTATCCTACCCTTGGCCCAGCAAGCATGCTATCTGCCCACTGGGTAGCTTGCCTGAGACACTGGGGTGAGGCACTCACTCAATATCCACTGCCCCGTGGCACCCCATTTCCAGGGACCTTGAAGCAGAGCTTCTAATGGTGGAGAAGTCACTGTTACTCACTTGCTTGGAGCCCGCAGGGCTCGCCTTTGTCACGGGGGCCACCCAGGAGCGCTTCTATGTGCCTGAACCACCGGGTCACGTGGAAGAGTCTCGTGTCAGCGGGAGGGGTCGAGAGCTGCCTGAACACGTCCACGTCTGCCTGGGACAGTGAGTACCCCTGGATATAGCTACGCGTGCTGAGGTGCTGGTCCAGGGCCTGCACCCTGGCTGCCTCGTCACTAATGCTCAGAATGGACCTGTAGTCAGCAGCTGAAAAGACAGAGGGCACAGGCTGTCAGGCAGGCAGGCAGAGGTCATGGGAGGGCAGCAGGCACATGATATGGGGAAGACAGAGCGTGTGGGAGCAACATTAGGCAGGCAGGCAGGCAGGCAGAGGCATGAATGGCAGAGGGCACACAACTAGGCAGATAGAAATCTCCACGAGGTTGCCAGGCAGGCATCAACAGAGAGAGGCAGAGTCAAAACCTTTCCTGGATATAAACATGCACATCAGGCAGACAGTACACATGCCAGTGGTTGCCATGGGGATGGGAGTGATGCTTGATGGGCATGAGTTTTCTACTGCGGTGATAGAAAACACTGTAGAACCAAACTGAAGTTGCTTGCATGACATTGTGACCACACTGCATGCTACTCAAGTGCAAACTTTAAAATAATTTTATATTATGTGAACTTCACCTCAATTTTAAAAACTCATAACAGAAAACAATGAAACAAGTCCCCGTTCCTAAATCCCTTTCCACAGGAGCATACTCTTCCTAAAACAGCGAGACACAAAACAGGGGTGATGAGGCCACAACATGTGAGAATGGCACCGCTCGCCACACATACAGCCCCTATGCGCATCTGCATGGAGACGGCCAGGCCTAGCACAACTTTCAGTGGTCCAAGGCCCTATTCCCAGGGTGATGCAACCCACATGAGAAAGCTCTGGGCTAACAGAAGGGATGCTCCAGCCACATCTGACCACGGTGGGACCATCCTAGGAGTATGCCCTGTGAACTGTACCCTCCACAAGCAGGGGTATCTCCAAGGAACCCCCAAGGAGCTGTGGCAGGCGGTGGGGAGGGGAATACAGACCCAACTTCCTGTCCACTCACACTGGGGGAAGAGGAACAGAGTTGCTCCTCACACTTGTCCCAGCCTTGCTCTCACCCCAGCAGGTGAGGCACTTGGAGCTGCGACTCCTTTTTCAGTATCCCCCAGATACTGATGGGTATCTTACTCCCTTCAGAGTTGTGCTCACGTCACTAATGTTGCAATGCCCATGACTCCAGGCCCCAGCCCTCTGGATCCTTCTCCCCAAACTTACTTTCCTTTACTGTCTGTCTATCCTTGCCATTTAGTATGCTTTATCATGGCATAAACAAGCCTGGGACATTCTGGATACTCAAGAACCTGCGGCTGCTCAGCAGGGCCACTGTGGAAGCCTTAGGACAGTGTCTCTGGGATCCACTATTCCCTGCCTCCTCAAGAAGCAGCTCTCAGGAACCAGCATTTGGAGAGTAGCCCCTTTTTTCCAGGGCCCAGTCAGTACTGCTGGGATTCTGTCCACAGGTGAAGGCCAGGGAGTTCTACAAGGAGAGCTGCCAACATCACTCTTGGGACCTCACAGGGATGGACACTAATAGGGTGTCCTTCTTTCCAGCTGAGGGCAGCCTCTGCTCTGAGCACTACTAAACCAGGTCTAGTTACATCTAATGCTAACTGAATATGAAACATCCCTGAAATCCCTATGTAGAGCAACTCTCTCTCAGGGAACCTCCGTTTCACTCCAGTATTCTCCTCTAGGGGTACCAGCAATATCCTACTTAGGAAGAAGATGGTGGCGACCAGATATACAGGAGAGACATGCCAGACTCACATGAGCCAGGTCCCCTCAAAGGTATGGTTAGGGTCTCAAAATTGTCCCCAGCACTGACTGACTTTTCAGTCGCTAGTGAGACTACTCAGTCTAACATCAGGCCCGAGCGTGGTGAGAGGGAGCAGAGCCACGCACAGGCTCAGCTTCAGGGTTCTGTCTACCCCCCAGCAAACACACAACAGAGCTTTTCACACTGAGCACATCCTCGTGAGGGCTGCGAAGGACTAAGGACTAAATGTCAACAGTGGTAAAATCCAACCATCAGGGTTGTTAGCGATTTCATCTCCCTCTCTGTCTCCATTGCTTACACTTTCTACACTAAGAACTGCATGTAATTTTTTATGAGCAAAATATACACAACATCAAAACACTACAGGGGCTTTAGAGAGCTAAGGAAGAGGATCCAGAAAGGTCAGCCTACAGCATACTCTGGGACAGGCCCAGCAGGACACAGTCCCAACCCCCGAGGCTAGGCACCTGTCTTCTGCACACAGAAACCACGTTCATAACATCTGCCTCGTAAAGCTGTGGTACGCTAAGTGAAATTACACATATAAAAATGTTTAAAAACCACTTGGCATGCAGCCAGCAGCCAGCACCCAGCTTGCTATCATTATTATTATAATCGTTCCTGCATGATGATGATGATTGTAATTGCTGTTACATGCAGACAGCTCCCTAGAGGAGCTTACCCCAAGATTACACATTCATTCCTAAATGTTCTCATGGGGCATCCTGAATCACCCTGAGGGAGCACAGCCCAGCTGGAGAGAGGCACCCTCAGAGTGGACAGGGTGGCCAGTATGAGGGAGGGGTTCATTTGAGTTTGTGGTAGCTGCATTTGAGGGCGTCTGGAGGAAACAAATAAAAACAAAGCAGCTTCAGGGTCCTGGCCTTGAGCCAGACCTCAGCGGGCTGACTGTTCTGAGGTGAGGAGAAGGTCTAGCTTACCCCAGGGCCCTCACCAGAGTTGCACATGACAAGCCTAAACTCCTGCTCTGCTTCTGCTGGGGAGAATGTCCCACCAAATGGACTCGCAGTTTGGCCTGTAAATACATCAAAGGACAGGACCCTGGAGGCGAGAATGTCTTAAAGGGGGACTAGACCTTACAAAGCATTTACTAAACCACACAAATGCAAGCACTGTGAGATGAACTGAACTCATGTCAAAGAATCCATGTTCCAGACAAGTCAAAGGGGTACCCTTCCTCTAGCTCCTTTTTCCATACTTACATTTGCTCTAGGCCTAGTTCACATTCTACCTTTCCTTCTGGCGCAATTCAAAGCATGGTGGATGCTCAGCAGCACCTTAGAAGCCACAATCTTGTGCTACTTGAGATCTGCCACTCAGACCCTCTGAGGTGGCCCAACAAGCAGGGCTCAAATTACCTCTGGGAGACTCACTTTGGTGCCAAGGCTCCCACTCCAGTATGCTAAGAATCCTAGCAGAACAGGTGGGTGCCTGCGGAACAACACAGGCCCTACACGGCATGCCTGTGTTCCTAGTAAGCTGCCAGGGAGCTCAGTCTCAGCTTGGTGGGGGCTTGCACCCCTCTCTTACTCCCTAATTCTCTGTTGGCTGATTCCATTCTGCTAACATTCCCCCATGGGGTTCCAGCACTACCCGCCGTCAGATTGTTCTGTTACTGCAAAAGCTCCCAGCAGCTTCCAGGCAACTCCAATGCACTTTCTGTGGCAGTTCCCACCCAAACCAGGACTCTCAGACAGAGGAATGGAAAATGCTCCCTGGGGAAGACAAGCAGGTACCCCTTTTCCCCACCTCCTCTGGGTTAATGCCACTCTCTTGGAGTCCAGAGCCTCTTGAATACTGAGAGGTTCCACCTCTCGCCTGAGCCCAAGTCACAGGGCAGCTCTCAGACATCATCTCTTCCTCAGAGAAATGTGCTTATTACCTTCCTCCTGGGGAGGCCGCTGGTTATCAGATGTACCCAATTTCCTCCCACACTGCGACAAATCAGTATAATCAGATGGTGCCACTACCACCAGCAGGGCCACCCTGAGGGCACTGCCCCTATGACCTTCCACATCACATCGCAAATGTGCAAATATTTGTATCCTATAAATAGATAATTTCACTCTCCTTTGGGGAACACAGCAAAGCATGTAGCCTCTGTTTACTTAGCAGTCTTAGCACCCTCAAAATCTGGGGCCCGCCTAATTATGTGAATAAACTCCGGAAAGTTGGTATAATACGGTGGTTAAAATCCCTGCTGCTATCAGCCTCCCCAGATAGAAGCCTAGCACTGTTTCTGGATAGCTGTATGATGTTGGAATCATTGCTGGACCTCTCTGGACATCATGGTTCTCACATGCACAGATAGACACAGGAGTATCTACTGTAAAGAGCCACTCAAAGGTAATAAAGTAGAACACAGGTAAAGTGTGTAGGGCAGCACCCATTATGATATACCAACTCCTTGAGTTAGACAGTATAAAAATTACACTAAGCCTGACCTAACAGCAGCCACCAAAGTAATATTCCAAGTCTGTAGGAAAAGACCCGGGGATGAGCTCTGTCCACCTAGAAGGCTCTGAGATGAGCCCAAAACCCAGTCTGCACCAGATTACAGAGGAGAGCTGTGATTCAAAAGACTGAGAAGAAGAACATGAGCCAGCTTAAGGAAGATGGACCAGAAAAGGGGAATCCCAAAAATATCTTCGGAGATGGTCACTTTCAATGAGGTTAACTTCAGGGTGGGGGGAAGGTGCGATTTTTGGAACCTGGAAGCCCACAGTACTGAGATCTCTGGTAGTGATACAGAGGTTTTGCATGATTTTGGTTTCCAGTTTCCTGAGAGGATGGCCCAGGACTGTCTGTCTGAGGGTCACTCTAGGGACAGGGTATGTGCCCTACGCTTCAGATTGGGACAGATATCTGCCACCCAGACATTGGGAAATTCAGTTCAATCCATACTGAAATCTCCAAAAATGAGCCATTTCTTTCAAAAGTCAAAAGTTCTAAAGTAACCAAAAAAATAATAAAAAACAAAACACCTCAATATGCTGTTATGTTTACAAATGAACCAAATATACACTTTTAATTTAAAACCAAAGAAACAGGTTCTAGTTTCCAACACACACGTGCACTTATTACATGCCAGGCACTGCTCTAAGTTCTTTGCATCTACTAACTCATTCATTGCTCATGGCATCATCCAAGGTAAGAAACACTACGCAGTGTTGCTGTGAGGATGGGGCAGGGTGGGACCCAGCTCTGAAAGGCATGCCCAGGTTAGACTGTTGGCCACAAGAGTGTTCTATGGAGTCGGGTGAAGTGCCTGCCCTGCGACTGGTGCAGTGCTGGAATCCAGGCATGTCAGTCTAGTAGAACGCAACAAGTCTGAAAAGTGGGGACTTCTGCCACCAGGGATAGGATGACAGCTCTGTCATCTGGGTGCCCTATGTCACTGGGTTACCCAAGGTGATCAGTCACTTATTTAGAACCCACTGAGGGCTCAGAAACAAAGGATACAGGACAACACAGAATAACTTACAGTGGTACAGGATATGGAGATATGTTACAGTTTCTACCTGGATATGCCCTCATTCACTCATAGGCAGGATTTGGGGGAGAGGACTGGATCGAGGTAGCATGATACTTATCCACTGATTAGTCTACTGATGAGTTTATAGCTAAATGTAATTTGGGCCAGGTGTGGTGGTACATGCCTGTAGTCCCAGCACTTCGGAAGCTGAGGCAAGAGAATCACTATGAGTTCGAGGTCAGCCTGAACTACATAGTGAGACCTTGTCTCATTTAAAAAAAAAAAAAAAAAATATATATATATATATATATACAAATATATATTTGGAAGGTGATGGGGACATGGCCTGAAAGGCTCTATTTTTTCCCTCCTCCCTTGATCCCTCTCTCTGCTTCTGGCAACCACGTCATGGGCTCTTTCTCTTCTACCATGCTGCCTTGCCTTGGAGCCAGCTGACTATGGACTGGAACCTCTACAGACTGTGAACCAATGTAACCCTCTCCTCCTTTAAGTTATGGGTGTCAGGGATTGTGTCTCAGCAATGAAAAACTAAGATAAGGCACAGAACTCACATCTAAATTTTCTCCGCATAGTGAATAAAATCTACACTAACCATGTTTCCTTCACGAAGTCAACTCTGTTAGGAATCTGAACCACAGACTCTACTCTTTTGAGCACCTAGAATCTTGCTGAAGGAACAGTGAGAAAAGACCCACTGTTCTTCAAAGGGCTGAATGCCAAGATCCTGGTTTACCCCTGAGTGACACGGGTAACTCATGGGGTCACCCTCTCAGGGGAACTCTTGGGTGGCAATAAAGTAGGCAATAATGCTCTGACAAGGTACTTCCTGATTGTGACTGATGGTCAAACTGAAGATGAAAGCTTTGGTAAAACCCCAAGCCCTTTTATGTGTGTGTACATGTAGCTCAGGTTTCCTCTGTCCTATTTTCTTAAGTACCAACCTCAAATGACTTCCGCCTACCTGGCTGGGCAGAAACCAAAAACAACCCTGAGCCTTTGCCTTGTCCCTGAGCCTGACCCTGAGCCTTTGCCTTTGCTGGGGCAGGAAGGGAAGAGAGTGGGCCCAGGCACCTGCTGCAGACAAGTTGCTTCACACAAGCTACTCCATGGTCACATATACAAAGAGCCGTTAGCCCCAATCCTATGAGGAAACAGCCTGGGGACGGAGTGGGTCTTGCAAGGCTAGGGTCAAATTGTCAATCAAGCCTGCAGGAATTCTGTAGGCCACTCCACAGAGCCCAGGCCACTCCTCCCGGCCCTGAGAACCAGCTGCCTCTCAGAGCCTGGACTTGACCACTGGCCCGCTGCCTCAGAGCCCCGGCCTGGACCTTGTCTAAGTTGGATACCCACTGCCCCTCTGAATCCTGGCCTAGCCACTACCCGCCCATGGACCTGTGGCTGCCCAGAGCTCTGTCTTGACAAATGATCACGCTATATAACCACTGTGTGCTCAGAAACCTACAGCCTGCTCCAGGCCCCCACTATCCCTCTGAGTCTGACGCGGCCATTGCCCGTCCGGGGACCTCCCTAGTCCTCCTCTGCTCCTCAGACCGTGGCTCGCCCACTGTCTTCCTGGGACTCCATGGCCCTAGTTGCTGGGACGCGCCAGCTGACAGATCCTCGGGTCCCCGCGACGTCTCTCTGGCCGGCCCGCGTCCCACACATCCCACCGCGACACTTACCTTGCTCCCCGGAGGAACCTGCCATCTCTGGGAATCCCTGACCAGCGACACCGACTTTCCCAGAATCTGATGCAACCGCGCCCCGGAAGTCCCGCCCAGTTCACCGCCTTCCGGAAACGCCCTGTCGCTAGGCAACTAGGCAAGGAAGCCGCGGCGCGGGGTATGCTGGGCATCGAGCTAGGCGTGCTGGGACGTGGAGGTCCAGATCTGGTCGGCTAACTGGAAGGGTCGGACTATGCTAGGGGACAGTCTAGCCCTGTAACGGGTTGGATCAGGAGCTGGCAGGAAAAGGAGAGAGAGAAAGATGTGACGGGCAGCCACCCCCAGGCACACAGCGCCGTGAAGATGACCCCAGAGGACAGCCAGCCCGGAGAAACTCCGGGCAGCGTCAGAGAACCGGGCGGTGTTGTGGCCAGGACGAGGCTTCAAACACTGCAAGGACTCTAGAAGCATCCAATAAGCAAAGCCGAGCATGGCACACATCGAAGGGTTCAAGGAGCAGCCAAGACCGATCTATGCTGTAGAAACACCATTCTAACAGCTGCCGAGTGAACGGGGTGAATCCAGAAAAGCCCAATAAAAGCAAGTGCTTTAGAAAGGAAGCGCAGTGTATAGAAGAGGAAAGGGGGGCGGACAAAGCAGGCAGGAAGTCAGCAATCCCTAGGAGGCCTTAAGCAGGTACTGTGTGGAGAAGGGGAGGTGAAATTCGGAAAGACCCAATTTCTGGCCTGACAGTCTGGCAGGTATTGGGACATTCGCTTTAATAAAGAACTGGAAACTGAAGTTGCTTGTCAAAGGGTGGAGCTATGCATGTTTCTAGAGACTGGTGCTGAATTTGATGTTCGCGGTAAGCGAGGATGGGCAGTGGGTAGTCCTCCCTAATCCTCAATGTCATTGCCTTTCTCTGTGTGTGATCACTTCCCAAAGGTACCCCCATGAGACAGTACTCTGTGGAACATAGGGGTGATCTCCCCTTGTGATCTGTACAGAATTTATGTAGATTCTATTCAGAATCTATTCAGGGGTGCAGCCCTTACAAGCCTGGGGTTCATGAAGTTATCAGTAGAACTGACACTAAGGAATAAACTTACTCAGATCCAATACATCCAGGACACTATTTAACATCACAGTGCTTTATGTACCCACCCAAAGCAGAAGAAATGCTGTTTACATAATTTTATTATGTAAATAATTTATTAAAATCAAATCACCTTGATTGATGTTTTGAAATTTTGTTGTACTTTTTTCTTTTCTTTTTTATTATCCTTGAAATACAATGGATTTGGGGAAAATTTTTAAAAGATCACATTTGCTAAGCTGTACAATTTTTGGTGGACAAATATCTTGGGCATACTTTTAAATGCTTAACGCACTTCAAAAGAGCCTTGTGATTACCACCATGCTCCACTCTTGTGAACTATGGCTTAGAAGAGGGGTTCATGTCTAAGTCTAATCTTTCTCTTATGAGGAAGATCTCAGGGATGGCCTGAAAGCACTGACCTATTCCTGGAGCCTGGTATAGACCAGTGACCTCAGCTACTTGGAGTGACTGCCAAGTGGCATCTTTGTGGACTTAGTCATACGTATTTATGGAGCACCTTGTCTGCACCACACCTCCTTGTAGGTTACATAAACATCACAAGGCAAAAGGACAGCACAGACTTCTCTCCTTAGATCCTGGGCACAAGGCTTCATGGACTGTAAGTGTCCCTGGCACCACAAGAGGGGGTCCCCACTTCCCACTTGGTCTGCTCACACCCTCTAGGGCTCCTTTCCTTCACACAGGTCCCAGGCAGCTCCTTGGCCAGGAAGCACTCTGCACACAGCACTGAATTCCCATTGAGCTTCGTATAGAATCTATACAGAGAAAGGGGTACAGCCCTATTTGGGGTTCTTGAACTTTCCATTGGGATCAGCACTGAGGAAGCTCATACTGATCATCCAGGATACTGTTTAACATCAGTTCTGTATCAAAAGACACTTCAGGTATCTGTGTGTCTACTCAAGATAGTTTGCGAAGACATGTCTAACTCTGTGGAGCACAACCATTGACCGGCGCAGCTCCCCAATGAGACAGGAAACGCTTCAGGTGGGTAACAGGAACTGCCAACTTTATTGTTGCGGGTTCTGGCTTATATATCTGACTGTAGCCAGTCAGGCTGCCACGAGGAGGAAGGGCTGGAATGAGACGCAGGCTCTGGCTAATATACTCAGCTGTGGTGAATACGAAGTGAGTATGGGGTGGCTAATTTGGAGAGGGACGTAGCGCATTGCGGAAGCTGGCATGGTCCTTTGTCCCGGGTGGGGTATGGTATGTTGAGCACCTGCGCCCAACATCTCCCCCTTTCTTTATAACTGACGCAGGGTCTCCAGAGGTCGGCGCCCCTCGTGAGGTGTCATGCTGCGCAGTCATGACGGTACCTCACTATCCATTGGTGCTCTTTTGGAGGGGGCGGGAGTATTATTTTATGAGCCCAACCCACATGCTCGCCGACATGGGGACCGGGGTGTCTCCTGGCCAAGGACGACACTCCCTGCGATGCTTTGCTCCACACCTGCGTCACAGCATGGCGAGCCATGCTGCCGGGCTTTGACCAGATTCTACTGCCAGCAATGCTTGTTTGATAATTGCTTTGTCCCTATTCCTTTGTCTGCGAATCCGACAGAGCAGAAGTAAACTGCTGAATGCGGCAAGTGTAGCTCACTATCGTGGCCGTGATTCCAAAATCTCCCCCATTGCGCACAAGCTGGATCACAGGAAACTCGTCTGGGTCTGCCATAGCTGGAATACCTGCACAACGACAGCTGAAAGTGCACTGTTATCCCAACATTGTAACACATAACAGGTTGTGGTGGAGCAATTTAGAAAAGTCATTGGCTGCAAGGGCCGTACGAGATACAAGAAGGAGGGGAAAAGGAGGCTACTAACCAGGGGAGTTGGAATCTGGCCCTAGGTGTCATGCCCTGGGCAATACCCTCCTTTTGTTTAAACAGAATAGACTTGAGGGTTTGATGAGCACGCTCAACTATGCCTTGGCCCTGAGGATTATAGGGAATTCCATGTCTGAGGGTTGGATATGGCCTAACTTTCCTCTGTCTCCTCTAATACCAGACAATGATGGATAGTCCCCATGACGGCTGGGTAAAACTAGCATCTGAGTGATGCGGTTTCCTGCCCCTAAGGCTGTCCCTAAGGGAGATGTTCTCTTCCGGGTCCCCAAAATGGGCAGTCTCTTTTTATATGTCCCTGTCTGCCGCATTTAAAGCAGCCTTCTTTCGGGCGGGCGCCATTCTGTGGCGCCACTCTGCCTTCCTGACCTTCTCTAGCTAGCTTCATTAACATGGCCGCCAAACCTAGAGTTGGTTAATGGCCCCCCCGATCTCCCGACAGAGTTTTATCCATGCCTCAAGGGGCCCATCTTTATATGGACTAATGGCAGAGCGACATTCTTTAGTACATTGCTCAAAAATGAGCTGCTTAATGAGCGGTATGGCTGTTTCAGCATCCCCAAAAATTCTCCCTGCCGCCTCCATCATGCGGGCCACAAAATCTGAAAAAGGCTCACTCGGGCCCTGCAAAATTTTTGTCAAGTGGCCTGAGACTTCTCCCCTAGCCGAGACCTGTTTCCATGCTTGTATGGCTATTCTATTTATCTGTGCATACACCTCTTGTGGGAATATCAGCTGGTTATTGAGATACTGCCCTTGTCCTAATAACATGTCCACGTCCCAGGTGGCCTGATTGTTTCGGGCATTAGCTTGGGCCTGTTCTGTGGCAAGTGCAACATTCCAAGCTTTCCAATCAAGATATTGGCCCGGGCTGAGCACCACCTTGCACAAACTGGCCCAATCAGCAGGTGTCATGGCGTTTCCTGCCAGGGCTTCTACTAGGGACAGGGTATACGCCCCGTTAACACCGTACATGGTGCTGGCCTCCTTAAGGTGCTTTATCGCTTTTATATCTACAGGCAGGTGGGCTCTGTTTCCCTGAGCATCTACAGCAACCGGAAAAGCCTGGAGAAAACGGCCCAGGCCTCCTGGGTCCTCTCTTTTGACTTGATGCCATAGGTCTTCCTGGAATGTCCCAGAGGACGCCTGGACCCGTTGCGGGCAGCTACATAGCTGATGGCAGGGTCTCGGATAAACATGATAATCTGGTGGGTCGGGAGGTAGAGCCGTAGGTCTTATACGGGGCGGCCCTGGGATCCCATACTCGCTTTCATTGACCCATTTACTCTGAGAAATCATGTGTTGCAGCTCATTTATGGCCTCAGAGTAGGGCCCTCTCGACTGCGTGTGTGTGACTTCCCCTCTTTCGGTGGTGTCTACATCCATTACCCATGTTAATTGGAATTTCAAGAGTTTCTTTTTATTTTATTTTCCTTTTTTTTTTTTTTTTTTTTTTTTTTATAACAGCGACAGCTTAGTCCCTGCGCCCCTTTACAGCGCCCCCAAAACCGGCCTCTTTACGGCCCCCGGAACTCTCTTTACGAATTCCTCAATCCCGCCTTTTTACGGCTCCCGGAACTCTCTTTACGAGCTCCTCAATCCCTTGCGACGCGTCTGCCCAAGGTTGCCCAATAGCCCCCGCCATCCGGCCCGGCAGCATTCGCTGCCTGTTGAACAGTTTAACCTGTCAGCTCCCGCCCGCCGAGTAGCCCCCGCTATTGGCGCTTGACGGTTTTACCTGTAGCGGAGAAAGAGGTTGGTTCCCTGTACTGTCGGAGAGAGGGTCTCAGCGCTCCTCGTACAGGCCACCAGTTGACCGGCGCAGCTCCCCAATGAGACAGGAAACGCTTCAGGTGGGTAACAGGAACTGCCAACTTTATTGTTTCGGGTTCTGGCTTATATATCTGACTGTAGCCAATCAGGCTGCCACAAGGAGGAAGGGCTGGAATGAGATGCAGGCTCTGGCTAATATACTCAGCTGTGGTGAATACGAAGTGAGTATGGGGTGGCTAATTTGGAGAGGGACGCAGCGCATTGCGGAAGCTGGCGTGGTCCTTTGTCCCGGGTGTGGTATGGTATGTTGAGCACCTGCGCCCAACAAACCATGAGTTTAGAAATAGAAGTGTTCCTTCGGAGCTTTGCCTCCACTCAAGGAGTGTCTCATGGTGATGTTCTCTTTACATTTCCTGAAATTTTGTGCTCATATATCCAAGGTTTGCTTTCTTCAAGTTCAATAAGCCATACAGACATCTTCCATGTACTTTGGAGAATCTCATGTCCAATTTGATGATAACAATTTCTGAAAAAAAAAAGATGAATTTGTTTGCATCTCAGAAATGTTCTGGAAAGTTGTAGCATTTGCTGTATTTCTGCCCTACAGGGTGTGGGAGGCAACTCAAGCTAATCCCAGAGGTCAGGAGAGTGAGATTAGGTCAGGACCTATCAGACTCTCATCCTTCATTTGAGGATCATAAAGCACCCAAACTCAACATGGTTGACCGTCTTCCAGGAGAAGGTACTGGAGGCTCCCCCCACCCCAAAAGCCAGAAGTTTCAGGATGACTACTCTGGAGACTGGTCCTGCCCTTCCTTTCTTCAGCATTCTCACCGGGTTCATTGTTGCTAGGTGACTGAAGAACAGCCATTTCTTGTGATGATAGTGCTGTCCAAATCATGTTTGGAGGAAGAAATGCCATGTGCCTGAGATAAAAGTCCATGCAGCTTTAGATATAAATATTGCCCAGGGTTAGGTCTCAAGTCTGCTACCAACACACAGGAAATCCCAAAAGAAGTCTGTGGTAGGACTAGCTGTGGCTCCTAAAAGACATCTCCACATCCCGAGCCCCTGGTACGTGTGATTGTGACCTTATTTGGAAATGGGTCTTTACAGATGTGGACAAATTAAGACAAGGACACACTAGATCATGGTGGGAACTAACCTGAATGACTGGATTCCATTTAAGAGACACAGAGACGGGAAGATGAAGACAGAGATGGATACTATGCAAAACCAAGGAATTCCAGAACCATGAAAAACTGGGGAAAGGCAGGAAGGACCCTCCCCCAGTGCCTCTGCAGGACTGGCCTTGCCCACACCTTGAGTTTGGAGATCCGGCCTCCAGAATGGTCAGACAGATGACTTGTGTTTTAAGCCCAAGTTTGTGGTTATCTGTTATGGTAGCCCCAGGACACTCTCATAAAAAGTCCTTACCCTTCTGTGCCTCAATTTCCCATCAGTGGTCTAAATCTCCAGAACAGTCCCTTCTAGCACAGACTCTTCAGTTCTCATAAGGGGAACACAAAGAGTATGGCACAAGCTAAATGTGAGGATACAGATAGGAAGGCCTGGGATGTCTACCACCCACTTCTGGAGCCTCTGAGACCTCCCTGCACGACAGCCTGAATGCTCAGCGCCAGGTGGGACCCTGAGACACCAAAAGGAATTCCCAGGAGGGATGGATTCAAATCCCAACACAATACCTACAGGGGTGCCTTCAGAAAAAAGAGACAGTTACACATGACTTCTTTGAGAGAAAGGAGATGCCACTCACAACAGACACAGTGTACTTATATTTCCAAACCTGGGTGAACATTCAGGAGAGTCACAGGGCCTCCTCTTCCACAGGTCCCCTGCTTCCCGAATGGTGGTTGCTGTCATCACAGTTGACTGACTTGAGATCTGGGTGGTCAAGCAGCTGGTCACAGGAGGCTTCCAGCTCAGGTTTATGAGTTGGTGCTGGAGTGAAAAAGAACCTTGTGAGCTCCATTCTGAGCTACAGAGCTGGCAGATTTCCTTTTTTCATTGATGGACCCAGCTCTAATTCACCTGTCCTAAAGCAGCAATGCTTTCTAATGTTGTTTTTGAAGAAGAAGAAGAAGATGATGATGATGATGATGATGAAGATGAGGATGATGCTTATCACGATGACAGTAGGTATAATCCAGGAACAATTTGGTATTGCTAGAAGAAAGCAGAATAGAGTGTTAGCTGTCCTATGGCAGTCATAGGAGAGTCCTGGTCCCTATCACTATCTCTCCAGCCCTGAAACTCAGAGCCTGTGAGATCTCACTCAGGTCCTTGGAAGGGGCAGGTGATCTTTCTCACAAGAATTGGAGCAGGAGGCTCTGCTCCCCACTATGGGGTCCCTGGTCAATGGGTCTGTCTATTCCTAGGACATAGCCTAGAAGCTTACAGGCGGTAAAAGATTGACTGGTCTTGGCCACTATGTAGAATGGACAGAGCAGGGCCCACCCTGGGGAGACATTTGGATGACTGCTCAGGAATCCTGCCTTACCCTTGTGAAATCACAGCACAGGAAGAGCTGAGGATGCATAGCATTGCACATTGTACTACAATGGCAGAGGTGAGTAGTGACCACACAGGCCGAATGGTGTCCAGAAAAGGTCTGTGCCCCTGGATTTAAGATAACAAGTTATCCACTTACCTGACTCTTGATTCATCTTGGCACATATGGTGTTTGCCTTGGGATTGCATGGCTCCAGAACACCTCCACTTTCTGAACAACTGGGAGGAAACACTGAGTGTCACTTGTGCCCAGCCAGAATCAGCTCATATGTATCATCACCCACGGGGCAGGGGTTGGAAAGGACCAGTCTCCACCCCAGGATGGCCCTGCCATGCTTTGGTAATCTTGCCAAACTGATCCAATAAGAGTACAACTTGGGAGTTGTCTCATATTTAGGAAAAAAGACTTTATTTCTCTCTTCTGAGCATTTGACCATGAGGACTGGACTTGCTGTCCCTCTACCAAGATGGAGGTCAGTCCAGAGGCAAAGCCAGTTGGTGGAGAAGGGGAAAGGCAATCAAGTCCAGAGCCTTGATTGAACCAAACCTGAAAGCCTGAATTCATCAAGTGCATGTTCTGAGTTATATTTAAAAACAAAAACTGTCTGTAGCATGTCTTACAAATACAAGCTATTTTGCAAGTGTCCTTATTACTATGACTATATCCCTAGCATGTCTTCCCCCCGACCCCCCCGCAAATTTAGGCCCACCTGAAGCCTCAGAATTTTACCTCATCTGGAGAGAGCTTAAAGTTCTTTTTCACCCTAGAACTTTCTATGGCTCCCTTTCTCCCTCCCTCATGACCACCACCTCAGAGTGGCTGTCCCTGACCACTGAATCTAAGAGTAGGCCCCCATGGCCCTCTGAGCCTCAGGATCTGGTCATGCACTTCCACTGTGTGTCCTAACTATTAGAGTTTCAAAGGTCTTGCAATCCTGCCTGAAGATTGTAATTTGATGGCATTATTAGTGATGGAAACAGGACGGTAGTGGGGGCTTGCTGGAAGGAGTGGATCATGTGATATGATGCTAGGGTTCTACCTTGTCCCTGCCCCTTCCTCTCAGGCTTTTTCCCTCCCTGCTTTCTGGTCAGCAGAAAGTGAATAGCCTTCCTCCATCACATCCTTCCATCATGATGTTTCTGCCTCATCCCAGAAACAGAGCCAGCTGACCACGGACTGACAGCGCTGAAATCATGAGGCAAAATAAACTCTTGCCTTGAGATGTTTCTCTCAGCTATTTGATCTCAGTGAGGGAAGCTGACGAGCACATGAACATTGTCTTCGGACAGGCAACCAGGACTCATTCAAGTGCTTTGTTAATCTCCTGTAACACAGGTGCTACCCCCGTAGCCCTATTTTACAGATGGGGCTCCTGCGGCTGGTGGAACTATATAAATGATCCAAAGGAAAGGAAGTAGTGAAGGCGAATGAGAGTCCCACCCTTCACCCACTGGCACCTGCTGCACCGGAAGCAGTGCTCCACACAGTTTTCTGAGTCACAGTAGTAGCCTTCCTTGCACTGGCACTGCCGATTAGTAGTCGAGGAACAGTTTGAAACCTCTTCTTGGTCTGTTAGAGAGAAAGAAGCCTGAGAGTCAGTCATCAGGGTGGGACTCTGTTCCCTTGTATACTGGCCACAACACGGCAAGGTCATCTCCATGGGCTCTTGACCCATGGTGAAGAATCTGCCTCGTCTTCTAACACAGGGACCAAAAAAGAGAACAACCAGGCCCTGTTGTATGTGATGTGGTGAATTTGCAGAGAAACCAGCAGGAGCCTTGCAGTCTGGGCTGGGATCTCTCTCTCTGTCTCTGTCTCTCTGTGTCTGTCTCTGTCTCTCTGTGTCTCTATCTCTGTCTCTGTCTGTCTCTCTGTTTCCCTGTCTGTCTGTCTTTTGGTCTCTCTCTCTCTCCCCTTGAATAGAATCCAGGTTCTCACCTATGCTTGGCAAGTGCTCTGCCTCAGCCCTAGCCCTACAAGCTCTTTATGTGTTCTGGACACGGTCTTTTGTGTCTTAATATCACAATGTATTCTCCCACTCTGTAGCTTAACATTTTAAGTTGAGATGTCTTCTGATGAATAAGAACATGAATTCTAATGTATTGGTATTATTAAACTCTTGTTATGGTTTATGACTTTTATAACTTACATAAAACTTATTTGCTGCCTTAAAGTCAAAGGTACTCAATTTTCTTTTTGCAGTTTTTCTCTCTTGTGTGGACTTTAATGTATCACCTCAGTGGTGGCCTCTGTCTAGGCTGCATGCTGTCTTGCTGGTGCCACCATTCCAGCCCTCCATGGACCTCAGGTCATTGTCACTGTCCCTTTACACAGAGCCGTGCCAAAAGGATAAGCCTTGTGCCATCTGGGCTATGGTCCCCCGGAGTATTGTGGCATCTGTAAACTCCTTTTGGGAATCTCAAGAATGCGCTGGCTCTAAGGATCATCCCATGTGTAATAACAGACATCTTTTTTGTTTGCTTGTTTGTTTGGAGATAGGATCTCGCTATGTGGTTCAGGCTGGCCTTGAGCTCACTTTGTAGCCCAGTCTGGATTTGATCTCGTAACGATCCTCCTGCCTCAGCCTCCTGAGTACTGAGATTACAGGTGTGAGCCACCGTGCCCAGCTAATAAGGGACATCTTTATGAGACTATCCTTTTACCTGCCCTCTTGTTTCTATTGTCTACAATTTAGATGGTCTTGAATTCTGTTTGTTCATATTACACATTCTTAGATTCAGTCCAAAGTGTCTCAGTGTTATTTTTTGGCTAATGCAAATGAGTATCTTTTTCTTAGATAACATTTTTATAAAAACAATTTGTCACTGCCACAAAGTCACTTAGGTGAATTTTTACATGTTAATCTCATATATAGCACTTTTGTTAAATGGCCTTAAAAGCTCTAGTGATCTGCAGATTGATATTTTGGCAGTGTATAAATGTCATCACAGTCAGGAGACACTTCACAACTGATCCCCCTGGAAACAGACCCTGTGTAAGGTACACCAGCCCAGCTTGATATCCATGCATAGCTACAGTGAGTATCTTTGGTGTGGTCTCTGTGAATTAGGTGAAGGGGGCATTTTTAAAGTCAGTGGACAGATGGAGTATAATTAAGGGGTAGAGCACTTATGTAGCAATTCTTTTTGATAATTTATGTTTATTAAAGGTAAGAAAAGAAACACTTTCTGCAGAACAAGTATAAGCCAATTAAAAGTTGCAAGAGAAATATACTCTGCAGGGTGAGAGTGGACCCCTGTGAAAAAGGAGCAGTGTTTGCTATGTAGCATTTTCAAGGCCCTGGATTTAATTTCCACCACTGCAAAAAACAAAACAAAATGCCCCAATAAACAATAAACAAACCTGGCCAGGAATCAAGGCTGGCAGCTTCCTGACGCTGTTGGTTTCAAGCAGGAGCCTAAAGAGATGTCTTTCTATGGTCTGTTGGCCATTTTAGAACTTGGGCAGTGAAATGGTCAATTCATTAGAAAGAAACAGCTTGAAGCAACCACTGCACCCTGTGAGTCGCTGTGAGTGTGGCAGGATGTGGTGGCCCAGGATGGGAGCCTCCAGCTTTTACTGGGACAAGTGCCATGCAGGGACCTGGAGCACTGGGAAACCAAGTAACCCCTCCCCTACTGGTGAGTGGCTGTGAGTGTGGCAGGCTCCAGTGGCCCAGGACAGGAGCTTCCAGTGTTTACTGGGACCCATGCTATACTGGGACCTGGAGCTCCAGGAGAACAAGCAACCCCTCCCCCTTGCCTGTTTTGTCTTGTTGAACTTCAATATACATGAAAGTATGGAAAGCTATTTTGAAGAGAATGAGAGATTCTATGATAGCCATTAGTGACTTCCTTATTGTCTGGTTTTGAAGAACTAAAACACCTTCCTCTTTCAGTTCAGATCAGTTTTATAATGTTGTTTTGTATGAATTCTCTGTATGCAAAGACATGGACAACTACTTGGAAGAAAACAAGAGACAATATGACAGACAGTGAAGATCTCAGGTCGTCTAGCTGAAATTTATATCTCGCACATTGCTTTCTTTTCTTTTCTTTTCTTTTTTTTTTTTTTTTTTTGTCTTTTTCTTTTTTATCGGTACCAGGGATCGAACTCACAACTGCCTGCTTTCAAGGCAGGCGCTTATGCCGCTGAGCTAAATCCCCAACCCCTACATTGCTTTCTTATGTCCTATTTTGTTGTGTTAATTTTAACCCCTTTAAAATAAAAATTAAAAAAGAATAAACAATCAAAAACTGTCACCATCACCCTTGCAGGTTGATAGCATCACACTTACCCTTCTGGCACTGGGAACAGAGAAAGCAGATATTCTCGAGGTTGGGGTAGGCCATAAAGGTTCCAGGTTCACATGGTGCACATTTCACAATTCCATGGTTTTCCTGGCAGAGTTTTGTGACAAAGTGGCCTGCATGAGAATGGAGAGAAGTGACACAGTGCCCGGGGCTGCCCTCCTCCAACAGAATCCAAAAGTAGGAGCTGCTACTGGCTGTCTCTTCCCTAAGACACATGGCAACCAGGCAACCTGCACAATACCTGCTTCCAGTACTGTTGTAGTCTTCAAGCTAAACCTGTTGCTCATGTGTCCCCAAGAACCGAGGCCTGTAGCAACCTTGGATTTGGACAATGCCTCTGCAGTACGAAAGGCAGAGGATTGCTGCGACCCAATGCAGCTCCTAAGGTTCTTGGGGTTAAGGACCAGTGAGAGGATGTGAAAAATAAAGAAAAGACAAAGCTGGGGTCAGGTGGAGCCCTCATCCTCCTGATGGGAGGAAAGGAACTGCTCAACCACTGTAACACCTTTATTTATATATTGGAAAGATGATGTCAATTTCAGCCCTTCTGCCTAGCATCTCATTGCTTGGCAGGCCTGGGCCTCTTACTTTCTTGCTGCTGGAACAACTTGTTTACATAGCTTGTTTTGGTCTCTCTGTTTTTTCTGGGCTTGCTTGCTTTAGCCCCACACATGTGATCAATCTCCAGCTTCAATGGCTCCCTACATAGCCCTCTTTTTTCTTTTGTTGTTGCACAGGACGGATGGTCAATTGAAGCTGGAGGAGCTGTGTTGGAGAGCTCTGTAGATCTTTTTAAGTGCAGTCCAAAGATTTTAACTTCTTGCATTCTGCAATTGAAACCCCATGCAGTCCATTAATCTATGACAGTAGCCAGGTACCAGTGTAGCTGGCAATTGCCAAAAGTTATTAGTGATTTGAGGTTCTTTTATAGCATATTACTTTAGCATTGTTTTATATGCCTCTAGTAGTTGTACATTTTTTTGTAGGATATTTAAGACCAAGTTAAGGTAAGACTTGTTTTAAACACAATCAATTTTTGTTATCTGTCAAGGTCAGTTAAGTCTCTTTAGGAACCTTGGAATCAGCTCTAGAACCTCGTAGTTCTTCTGTCAGTGTCAGCTGTTTGGATGAGTCATGGTCAGTGCTTGACTAAGTTGCTTTCTGTGAATGCTTGGGAGAATTTTGATCTGAGTGACTCCCTTTAGGCACACTACACACTGATGGTCAGTTTCTTTAGTGGTACCACAGTCTTCTTGATCAGAAGACCAGGGACTCACTGAGTATAGGATGATGCAGCAGAGGTTCTCTTATGTCATGGATCCTCATTGACCTTGGAGGGCTAGGGCCAAAATACTGGCTGTCCTCTGAGCCCATCTGTCTCTCTAATTGTTTGTCTCTATATCTTGGTTGTTGAACATCCAAAAGAAAAGACTGACAACAGTATAATGCAGTAGAGGCATTATCATCTTATCTAAATATCAAACATCTTATAACATAAAATAGAACTATTATTTTTTTAACAACCATGGCTGTTTTAACATTTGAATACCTAACATTTGAATACAGTAATTAATATTTTACATAGAAAATTAGAAATCAAACCATATACAATGTTGTAGCATAAAACTCATGATGACATTTTGTAACACACTTGAATTTTCATTTTGACATCAAATTTCTCCCTTTTGGTTAATCATCTCTATTTAATACATAAAAGATTTGACCTAACTTGTTGCCATTTAGGGAGATGTAGTCTCATAAACATTTGTTGAAGGCAGAACTCTGAATCTGAATCAAAAGTTTATCACCATAAATAATCCCTATTTTACATTTTTTTGAAGATCTGTTTATCTGAAAACATGAATATATGAAAACACCATGAGGTTAACAAAATCATTTGCCATAACCATATGAAATCCTTTGTATGGGAAACTTTAAAATCAAAAACATTTTGCATTATTTCTTTTAATGATGACCAATGTGAACATATTACAATAATATTTATATAACGTCAGTTGGGGGTATCTCCCATAAGGCTATGGAGATCACTGAGGCCTCCAATCAATGAACAAGAGCTGGTAAAATGTTTACCAGGTGGCCACTTTCTTATTTATCAGTTGAAGTCCTGTCCAATAATCCCAACCCCAAGGGATTTTTGTTTAATCATTTTTATAATAACTTTTTCTTAAGAAAAATAATTTTTTTCTTAAGAAAATTCCAATCATAACGTATTATTTTTGAACAATGAGAGACTCTCAAATTATGATAAGCAACAATGTACATTACATTTACATAACTGACTTTAGCATCATTTTGAGTAACTGGAAACCCAGGTAGAAGCAGGTCTTGTAATTTTATAACTCAAATAAACCTTGATTAAATGCAAAAGAAAAGGAAAATTGCTGAGCTCAAAATAAAGAGAACAGCTGTTCACAAACAAACAAACAAACAGATAAATGGACAAACATGGACAGATGATCTGTACAGATTCAAACAGACATAGAAACAAACGCAGAGTTGTCAGTGTCTACAAGAATTCTGCAAGTTTCTCAGGGATATTTCATGCCCCTTTGCTGAACTATCCCATATCCTCAGGGCTGAAACACCTGTCACTCGAGCACCCCATGCCCTCAGGGTGTTTCTCAGGTACCCCGTGCCACTTGGACACTTCTGTACAGACACTGGTGCTATTGGCTCCACGTGTGTGAGCGATCACTAGCTCAGCGACTTCCAATTAACAGCTTAATAAACTAGACAAACAGACAGATACACAGACAGATTTACAAACATCTTTCACAATCAGAGTGTACTCAAATATATTTTAGCCAACTTGAATTACACAAAATTTTTGCAATTGTAGAATTTGTAATTTTAAATAAACTAGTCACATTTGTTGTAGGTCAGTTAATAGAAATCTCTTATCAAAGAATTTGAAAAAGACAAAATCTTACCTGTGATTAACATATTTTTGTTATAGGATTTAGTATGCACTTCTATCATCTATTTGGACCTTTTTTAGTTTTGGTTATCATCTCCTAAGCATCTTGGGTTAATTAAGGTTGGTTTTAGCTTTATCTTTTTTATGGGTGGCAGCATGGTCTCCAAGGCATCACTGTCATAGGACTAAACATCAGCTTTTGAGAGGTAGAATCAACTCCTTTCCTGGGTTTGGGCCCATGAAATAGCTAGACAGCACATACTGGCACCCAGATAGGCCATTTAGCTTTTCCTGGAAAAACACAAGCATACTCTCCACCCCACATTAGCACTGACGTGGTGCTTTTATTATCCAGTATTAATTCCAATGGACTCTTTTTAGATATGATTTATTTGATTACATTATTTATCTGCTGAGGTAGTTACATCTTTATCAGAATTTAAATATTTTAACTGGTATATATAGCCAAGTGAAATCTATTATGAAATAAAGTCTCGCTTTTGTTTTTTTTGAAATTTAAATTGTGAGCACAGTTAGCTTACTTTTAGACCTGAAGATTATAAAGAATTTTTGTGGTAAGGTACAGAGAAATGGAAACTGCATTTTATATTTAGGTACCTTGGGCTCTCCTGTGACATGCAGGTGGTGCTCCTGTTCTGGGCTGGAGGCCCCACTGTTGTTGGGAATCTGAGCACCAGTGCAGTATAAACTTTTGATTCATAAAGCATGTACACAAGTGATAGGAAAAATCAGGGTGGCTTGGGCAGCCAGAGCCATGTCCCACCTCTCTAATAAGTATCAGAAGATCCAAAATCCTTAGGTAACCTTTCTTTATTTATAGATTTTGCAATTTTTGTCAAGGGAAGAATACCAATTGAGTTATACAATCATCTAGGGACATCTGAACTGTGTTTTGAGTAGACTGAACCATAACCCTGATTTCTCCTTGTAGTTGAAACAAGCCAACTTTTTTTTCTTTTAATCTTTTTTTGTCTGGGCCAAACCCCAGGCTCAGTGGATGGGTTGGTGTACTTTTTTGCCTGGGGGGCCTGTGATAAGTAGTGAGAGGAGCTGAGAGCAGCAGTTTTATTAAATAACCCTTTAAAATCTGTAGAGGGCCAGCTAGATTTGTGAGGTTTTTTTTAGTTTTGCCCTAAGCTATTTATCAGTTTTTTTTTTCCCAAAGTATGTAAATTTATAATTTTTTTTGGAGACAAACTCAAGAAATTTAGCAAGCTGTATAGTGTCAGTGTATTGAAAACTAAAATTGACTTAAGAAAGCAGAAAGGACCTAAATAAATGTAGAGTTACATTAATTGTGAATTTGAAATAAGTACCTCTGTAGTAAATAGTTTTAAAAAACAATGGAGTTTGAGAATTTACATTACCAGATATCAAGACCCACTATAAAGCCATAGTGAGACAGTGATATGCTAGAGACAGCCAGGCCACTTCTGAATTTTTAGAAGTTTTAAAGGTTAGTTGTTGTTGTATTGGTTATTTGAATTGTCTTTTGTGAGAGCATTTTGTAAACAGAAATTAGCAAACCACAAATCAGGACCATATTACCCCTAACCATTAGGAGCCTGCCGGGCCAAGCAGGGCCAGGCCATCTCAGGGAAGCCATCTGAGCCATCACACCCCTACTTTTTGGCAGAACTGCTGTAGGCCCTATTGGAAATTTTGAATTTACATCAAATGGCCCAGTAATTTTGTCCTCTATACTTTGGGCAGATAGTTGAAGGTTTTGCTGGACAGTTAGTGGCTCAGTTAAAGTTATCAGAGTGGCTGGCGGTCATGTTGCCAACTTTTCCCTGCTCGAGATCTGATTCTGAACCAGTGTCTGGAGCCAGTTCCCTAGTAATTGTCTCAAGAAGCTTATGATTATTATGACCCTGTCTCATTCAGATCTACAGAAGGAATGTAAATATTGGAATCAAGCATATAACAAACAGAGTCTTATATATTTGTGATTCTTTTGGATAATTTTGTCCCATAGTTAGATAGCTGATATAATCAATATACCTCTTTTTTTTTTTCTTTTGAAGGGAAGGGGTTTTTCTCAGGCCTGTTTATAACTGGCCCTAGAGAATAAGGGAGTTTTAATGTCCCACTCTGTACATCTGATGAAGCCAATATCAATACACTCTAGTGATGACTATTGACCTATATCAATGTACTTTTTCCCCTAAGTTGCACACACATGGGAAGTGTCTCCTCATCTTTAACCTCTTACCCTGTCCCTGTTCAGGCGCCATATGCTGAGACCCAGTGCAGCTCGTGAGGTTCTTGGGGTTAAGGACCAGCTTCCACAGCTCCCTACAGAGGATTTTGAAACTGTTTCCTGCACCATCTTTAGCTCTCTCCTGAGGTTCCTAACCGCTCCTGGCAGGTTTCACAGAGGAATCTTGAAGCTATAGAAGGGAAGGTGCCTGGAAAAGGCCCCAGGCAGCGTTCGTACTCTAATGCTCTTCTGTCATGACTTCCCCAGTAGCACAGCAGAGACAGGTCAAACTCCTGATTATGCCCACACTCAGCACTGCAGGTACTGCACACACACACACACTGAGGTCAGCAGACTTCAGTTCAGGCCAGTGATGTTTCCTTTGTTCCTGATTGGTGGTGTGTGCATCATGCAGGTGTGTGTAGGTATGATGCTATGCACCTGTGTGTGTAGGTGCACATATATACTGGAGCATGCATTTTTGGATCCATGCATAAGGGAGTGTACAGATAGGTGTGCTATAGATGTGCATATATAAGTGTGTATGTTCATGTGGAGGTATGTATAGGTAGGTGTGTGGAGGGCTGGGTGTGAGTGGCCCAAGTGTGGACAGTCATATACCTTTGCCATATACCTCCTTGCAGGTAGTACCTTGTTTCCCAGAGTACTAACATGAGGATGAAATACATGAGGGTGATAATAATCCATCTCTTTGCTAGGAGCCTCCAGTACTCAGCCATGTCTGAGTTCCTCCCAACAGGAGGAATGGTGGATGAGAGCCTTAGACTGGATCCCTCACATGTGTTCCCCAACCCTGCAGAACACTCTCCAGTCCCCCACAAGACAAGCATCTGCCCATTTTCTGTGCATATGGGAGGTCCTACAATGGGGTGCAGGGAAACTCCTTCTCAGGCGGGAGGAGTCACAGTGGCTGTCATACTGTCTATGCCCGGGCCTTCTCCAGCTCCATCCTAGCTAATGACCTGTTCTTTGCTTCTCCAGGTGGGAAGGGAAGCCCCTGGAAGGCTCTGGCAGGCATCCTGTACTCACCAGCTGGGCAGCACTGGCAGCAGAGATCATCAGACAAGCACTCGCCTGGATTACAAGAGGTCACACTAATTGCCACAGTCACCTGAAACAGAAGAGACATTGTCATTATCAACAGATGCCCATATTGGTTGGCAGTTACTGTCTCTGCCCCCAGATGGGCAGAGCTGAGACATTATTTCAAAACAAAAAAACAGGAAAAATGGCTGGGGATGTAGTTCACTGTGAAGGCCTTGAATTTGATCCCCTTTACTTCAAGATGAAAAAGAAGGAGGAGCAGGAGGAGGAAGAGGAGGAAAGGAAAATATGAATGAATGGGGGCTGGGGTTTTAGCTCAGCAGCATAAACGCCTGCCTTGCAAACAGGCAGTTGTGAGTTTGATCCCCGGTACTGATAAAAAGGAAAAAGACAAAAAAAAAAAAAAAAAAGAGAAGAAAATATCTATGAATGGGAAGTTAAGCTATATGTGATTGCATATATATCTGAGTGCACTTATATAGTGTTACATGCCTATGTACATGTATACACACAAAAATCTATTATTTACGTGATTTTTTTCTTTTCTTCTTCTTCTTCTTCTTCTTCTTCTTCTTCTTCTTCTTCTTCTTCTTCTTCTTCTTCTTCTTCTCCTTCTCCTTCTCCTTCTCCTTCTTCTCCTTCTCCTTCTCCTTCTCCTTCTCCTTTTCCTTCCTCCTTGCTTTTTTAGATTGAACCCCGAGTCTTACACATGCTATGTCATGTCCTCCACCCCTTGGCCTTATTTCGCCCTCCTTCCTTCCTCCCTTCTTTTTGTCCCCACATCCCTCCCTTTCTCTTTCTTTCTTTCTTTCTTTTTTGTTTTGTTTTGAACTTGTGGTACAACTGCTTTAGATTCTTGAGTATTTTGCCTTTGGCATTTCAAGGCTATACTATGAAATATGTATCATTTTACATTTTTTTCACCCATATACTTGATCCTTACTATTCATGTGCTTATAAATCATCCTATTTACTAAAATGTATTTGTATGTACAAAATCGTGTCACTTTTATGACCATTTGCTAATATGCAGAGTGACCAGAAGATATGAAACACCCAACACATTTCCACAAGGCTGAACAAGGTGACACTCTGCTTTCATGTTTAGCCTCTAACTGTAAAAGTACTATCCATTTTGGGAGGCTGAGGCAGGAAGATCATAAGGTCAAGTGCCTGGGCAATTGACTTAGAGAAGCTGTCAAAATAAAAGTATTAAACAGGTCTAAGGACATAGCTTAATTTGAAGGTTCTAGGTTTGATCTTGAGATAATTTTTTTTGAGGCTGCAAAAACACAGTGTTTGTTTTGTGCTATGTTGAGTATCATGTGCTTTTACATTTTGGTTGGTAATTTTGCCGTTTAGGGCAGTACTCGAGCATAGGTTTGCAGAGCTGTCTTGTGTCCCAAGCCTGGGAAGACCGTAAGGTGCCTTATAGAGAAAACAGGTGTGTCAGGGGAGTGAACTGATGTGCTGATGTGAATTATAGTACCGTTTGCACTATTTTGGCAATTTTGTTAAAGCTGAAAGTTATTTCAAAATGAAAGCTTAAAACTTAAAACCCCTTATAAAAAAGAAAAAAAAAAAAAAAGAAAAGAGGAACACCGCTTCTCACTTGCACTGAAATCCACCCAGTTAGGAAGTCACAGAGGCCGTGTCTTCCAGAGGACTGAAAAAAAGAGGGGCCTAGAAAAGGATACAGAATGCCTGCACAGTGAGCAGACTGGAAGGGCAGGTGGGTTGCAGAGCTAGGGTGACATCTCTGCAAGTTGAGGAAGAGCTCCAAATATCCTGGGGCGCCTGGTCACCCTTCCGTGCCTTGTGACTTGAGATCAGCACTGGGCTAGCTGTGTGGCCTCTGCTGGCTGCTTTTGGACACACACAGTCCCTGTGACCATTCTAGGAAATAATTACCTGACCAGTAGACTGATCAGGTCTGCAGTCTCCCAAGTGAGTAGATGATGAACTCGTAAATAAAAGAGACAAGTGGTATGATTTTAGGGCTGCAGGAGAATCAAAACCCTCTAGCGGAATTCGAGATTCTCTGGGGGCTGAGATAGTTTCTCTAGGCAGCCTGGAGGGACCTGTTGAAGCTGGATATCGATCACGTGTGGGGCTAAAGCAAGGCCAGCCCTGAAAACACAGACAGCTCAAAACAAGCCAGGTAAACAAGCTGGTCTAGCACAAAGAAGGCAAGGGGCCCCAGCCAGCCCGGCAAGTGAGTCACTGGGCAGCAGGGTTGAAACTGACATTCTTCTTTGGAGCTTATAAATAAATGTACCACAGTGGTTGAGCAGTTCCTTCTCTTCCATCAGGAGAGTAAGGGCTCCCCCTGACCCCAGCTTTGTCTCTTCTTTATTTTCTCACCCTCTTGTGGTCCTTTACCCCAAGAACCTCAAGAGCCACAGGGTTGGGTCAGTCGTGGCAGCAGCCTGTACTTGGTTTTCAAACAAAAGAAGGAGATACTGGGGAAAGCGCAGGAAACTGAGCAGGACCTTGGGAATCAGTCAGTTCAAAGACTTCTCTAAGTAGTAAATTATGCTAATTAGAGAACTATCTTATCTCCAGATTGATATCCACCACAGGAGTGAGACAGCAGGAGTGAGATACTTGCAGCTATGGCCTCTATCTAGTTCACTGAGGTTGGAGCCATGAGGCTTCACAGCATCACAGGCCACTACAGGCCTTAGATGGGACCAGTATGCATAGAAATTCACTTACTATGAATCCAATGCCCATCTCCAGACAAGGAACTTAGGCCTGGGACAGACTCACAAGTAAATACGGAAAGCCAGTTGATTAATTGTAAATCTGGCTCAGAACCACTTCCGTAGTAGTAGTCTCCATCAGGAGAGGAGCGCGGCTTCTCCCTCTCACTGAACTCTGCCCAGTCAGGAAGTCAGATAGGCAGAGGTTTCCTGCAGAGAACTGAGTTTTAACACGCAGGAGTCACTGAGGTAACAGGAAAGGGCAAGAATTCTTGAGCGGTAAGCAAACCAGAAGAGCAGGTCTGCTGCCTGAGCTAGGGTGGGTGGCTGTGCAAATTGAGGGAGAGCTCCAAACATCCGGGGTGCCTGGCCACCCTTCCACACCTTCTGACTTGAGATCAGCATTTTGCTGGCCGCTTTTGGACACACATAGTCCCTGTGGCAATTCTAGGAAATAATTAGCTGATCAGTGCTAGTAATAATCAGAGAATAGTGGATCAGTGATTAACCAGTGAAGCTATTTCATGCTATATAGCAGAGGCAGCTTAAGTGGATTTATAGCAAGACCCAGTTTATGAAGCAGCCTCTCCGCCACCCCTCACATCTGCTGTCCCTTGGCCCACAGATGGGAGCCACGTGGTCACCACCCACATCTAAAACACATCTGGAGGTACCCCTAGCCCAGCAGTGGGTTAGTCCCAACCACTGCGCTTCGTTGTGCCATCTGTTGGAGCAGGGACGGGGGGGCAAGGGGGGGATAGAAGCAATGTGATGTCCCTTGGGACCATGCGACCCGCCCCTGGCCTTAGGCTGTCCAGAGAATTGGTGCATTCCTGGTCTGCACGCTTAGCTCCTACCCTTTTCCACAAGCAGTGAAGGGTACCGTACTCACCGGCACTACAAGGAGCAGCAGCAGCAGCAGCAGCAGCAGCAACAATCGGGGTCTGGCCATCACTCTGATCTTTATCCAAACATGCCAGGGCAAAAGCTGGGGAACTAGTGGCAGCCTACTTTTAACAGTCCTAAATTAGAAAGGGAAAGGCACCTTGTGGGCAGTTCTGCGGGGCCCTTTCCTGTGACAGCCCCTCCCCTTGCCATTCTTGTGTGTTGGTTTGCGCAATCCCTGACTTCCTACTTCCTAAGCCCGGGCTTTGTTATCGCGAGGGAACTGGGGTGCGCCGCCGGGGGTGGGGGGGATGGTGTACGACAATGAGAAAAGAATAATGTAGAAATAATAAAGAATAATGTAGAAGTTTTGTAAAGTAGGAGGGGAAGAAGGGTTGAAGAGAGAGGAGGGGAATGGGGACAAAAAGAGGAATCAAAGTGTATTACGTACAGATTCAGATTCTGTATCATGAATATGATCGTTGTATATACCTAATTTGTACCAATAAACAATTAAATTTTCAAAAAATGGAAACTGCTACTCCGGAAGTAGTACAACAGTTACCCTCCCCTTTAATAGAACTGTCATCTGATTCAGTAATTTCACTCCCAAAGAAACTAAAAGGATCTTGTCACATATCTGTTAACTCATGTTAACTACAATTTTATTCACACAAGCCTAAGGCAGTGTCTTGGTTCCTGGTTACTTGCTGAGACAAAATACTTAACACCTAAAGTTAAAGTAGGAAAGGTTTACTTCAGCTCACGGTTTGTAGAGGTTTCAGTCCATAGCTGGGTGGCTCTAGGGCAGGTGGTATAGCAGAGGGCTATCACAGAGGAGAAGCAATCCATGGAAAAACAGCACAGGCAGAAGAAGGCAGCCAGCAGCGAACTAGCAAGCAGCAAGTAATGATGACACAGCAGCCCTCTTTCTGTCTCTTATAGTCTATCCAGGCCATCTGCCCTTAGCAGGGTAGTCCTCGCTCCTAGAGAGGGCTTTCCCATTATCCACTCCCAGAACTCTGCCAAACCAATCAGTGAACTAATTAGTAATTGATCCCAGCATCACACACTCTAGATCAAGCCACCTCTGAAAAGTTCCACCTTTAATCACATGAGGCTTTGGGGGAACATCTAGACACATCCATAACAAGCAGAAGCAATCCTAGTGTTCATGAATGGATGACTGTGTGTATCAAATGTGACCAGGTAGACAGTGAAAAATGATTCTGCCACAAAAAGGAAGGAAATTCTGACATATGGTAAAACATGGATAAACAGAGTTTAATACTGAGAAATAAGTCACAAAAGCCACATCCTGCATGATTCAACTTCTGCAAGGTATCTAAAAGCCATGGCCCACTGAGGCAGTGAGATGTCAAGGGCCAGGCTCCCTCCACCCAGGTTGCCACTGCCTGAGCTGCTTTCAGCCTCAGCAGCCTAAAGCAAAAAACCAAGCCAAAACAAAACAAAATAAAACAAAAACCTGAAGATCCATCTCCACTGGGCACTGCCATGTCTCAGGAGGCTGATGGACCTGGTAGGCACATTCTTCCCCTAGTTGCCATATAAGTTCTTAGTGGGGCAGAGACTAAAGGCACAGCACAGGTCAGGTTGGCTCTCAAGGCACTGGGCCTTCTAAGACAAATATTCAGCAGCTGAAGGGGGCTATGCCATCACACCATACCATCACGGAGCAGTCATGTGCACCTGCAAGCTAACCTTTGTGACTCAATTACTGAAAGAATTAAATCTTACTGTCCTGAAGAATTCCACTCACCTCTCCTTCATTTATCAGTCAGGAGGCCACCAGGTGTCCTGGAAAATGGAAAGGAACAGTACAACAGTCACAGATGTAGCCCAAGTGAGGGCTGAGGTGCAAGGGGACCCTAGCAGAGAAGGCCTGCTTCCACAGAATGAAGGAACACACAGAAAGGTGAGCTTCAGAACACGGTGAGGAGGCCAGCAGGACATGCATGCCCAGCTTGTAGAAGAATTAAATGAAATCTTAATTCCTCCCAAGCACCCTTTCCAAGGGGCCTTGTTTATCTTCTTTTTCTACTCCTGAAAGAGGCAGCATCGTGAGTCACTTGCAGAAAAATTCCTTTGCAACACTGCCTGTAGTACAGGTAAGAAGACGTGTGGTTTCTGGGGTGCCAGTGGAGAGCAGGGTCATCTCCAGAGAACCAGCACCATCCTTTGCTCTGGAATTTCAGCTCAGAAGGTCTTCAGAAGCACCTCTGCTGCAGGGGAAGCCTGGGTTCTGGTGGATTTTCAGGTTTAGCTACACAATTTTTTTAACTTTTGAAAATTCCAAAGAAAGAAATACTTTAAACTAAATGTTATTACCACCAAAAGAGACCTTAAAGATTCTGATTTTGAAATTTGCTTTCAAACTTTAGTAAAAGTGTGTTGGTACACTGGCATTAAAAAGTCCTATATATAGAATTTAAATCAATGAATATAGAGCATCAAAAATGAAAATGAGTAGGCCCCGTAAGCATGCAGAGGCAAATGGTGGAGTGGTAACTGGCAGTGAGATGCAGTCTCTCTGGGATTCAGAATCAAGGCACTGGAAAGTATCCACTTGTGAAGAAAAAAAGAGTAGATCACTAGATATTGGGAAGGAACTAACAGGAAAATTAGAAGCTACAGAGAAGTTGGAGAAATGATCCACAAATAGAGAAAAGCACAGAACAACCTGGAGTATCTTCCTGGCATATGGCTTGCTGGGAGGGGAGCCCGTGTCTGCAGAGGTAAGGTAAGCAATCAGGGCCGGGAGCTCCAGGGAAGTGAACTCCACAGCTGTTGTGAACTGCAACATCAGTGTGGGGATGAGGAGATTCCTTCCAACTGCAGGAGGGAATACTGGAGCAGGAGTCCAGGGTAGATGTCTGTCATTTCACCAGAGCTGCTTAATCAGGCACCATTTGGGGAAAACGTCAATTATTTAAATCTGAGACTCAGAACCACTGAAAAACAACTTCACACCAGGGCTCCCCAGTGTTGCCTTCCCATAGAATATCAGAACTAGAAGATAGGGAGGCTTCAAAGATTGATTATTCAGAGATATCTTAAAAAACAATAAGATAACATTAAAAATGAGTCCAACAGTTGCTACATGATGTAAAGAAGATGAATCTAAGATTAAGTGGAATAAATGGAAGGGAGTAACAGTGAAAAATTCTTTCCTTAACTGAGGGAAACAATTAACATAAGGTAAGTGAGGTACAGTATACAGAACCTCAACTAACCCCTCCATGTCACATCATCATCAAACTTTGAGAAGTCCAACACAGGGTCAGAACCTTAAAAGCTGTTAGAGAAAAAGCAAGCAATCATTTATAAAGGTAAATCCATTAGAATTATAGCAGACTTCCAACACAAAAGCCAGGACAATCTAAAGTGTCTCAAGTTCTAAAAGATAACAACTGCCAGTCCAGACTTATATATCCTGCAAAGCTTTCTTTTAAAATTGATGCAGAGATAAGGTATTTCCATGACAAAGAGCACTTAAATAAATTCATGTTCACCAAACCAGCACTAGCAAAACAAAGAGACAATAAAGCCAACAATGCCAAAAAATTTTAATACAATGAATACACCACACAAATTGAATCATTAAGCAGAAAACAAGCCAAGAAAGAAGGAAAGAAAGAAAAGAAAATAGGAAAATAATACAACAACAGAAATAAGACAATAACTCCTAGTATTGACTTTTGATGTGAATGGTCTCAATTCTTCAATCAAAAGGCACAGTTGCCAGAATAGATCAAGAAACAAACCCAACAATGTGTGTTATATAAGAAACACATTTAATTAAAAAAGACATACACAAATTAAATATCAAAGAGTAGAAAGTAATATTCCATGCAGCAGAAATCTGGGAAAAAAGCAGGAGTATCTATCCTAATTTCAGAAAAGATGTTTCTTTTGTTTTGGCCAAAACTGATCAGAAGTGAAGAATATCACTACATGCTGGTTAATGGGGCAATTTAACAGGAAAAGTAACAATTGTAAGTACACATGTGCTAAACACTTGCATGCTGAGTTTTAGAAAAGAAACACTATGGTACATTACAGATTAGATAAACATCAATGCAGTTATACCTCAGTACCCCACTGTCCCAAATAGATCAACTAGAGAAAAAAATCAGCAAAGAAATGTCAGAGTTGAACAAAATCTTCAAACAAATGAACATAGAGGTAACAGTTATATTCATAATGTTCCACCCAACAGAATACGTAGCTTCTCAATAGCACATGAGACTTTCTCCAAAGCAGACCATATGCCAGCCCATAAACATACTTAAATAAGTGCAAAAGAATTAAAATTACCTCTTGCACATTGTCAGATCGCAGTGCAATGATTCTTGAAATCAATTGCAAAGAAACCACAGAAACTATGCCAACATGGGAATTCAGCAATACACTCTTAAATAAGCAGTGAGTCATAGAAGACATCAAAAAAGAAATTAGACAGTCCCTAGAGTCAGTGATAATGCCAGAACAACATATCAGAAGCAAAGGGATACAACACAGTAGTCCTAAGAAGGAAGTTTATAGTTTTGAATGTTCACATCAGAAAAAAACAGAGCAAGTTCCAATAAATAACCTAGTAATGTACCTCAAAGTCCTGGAAAAAGAAATCCAAAGCTGGTGAAAGGAAAGAAAGTGTAAAGAAATTACAAGGGAGAAATTAGTGAAATTAAGGCTAAAAAACATCGAAGAACTGAAGACCTGATTCTTGGAAAGAATAAGCAAGATAGCCACGGTCCTAGCCAATCTTATCAATGATAGGAAAAAAAGAGACTGAAATCAATACAATTAGAAGTGAAAAAGGTAAAATTGCAATATGCTTGATTAAATTCCAGATTATTAGTAACTTATTTTGAGAACCTGTAGTATAATAAAATACAGAATTCCAAATAATTGGATAGATTCCTAGGTGCTTATGAACTACTGAAGTAGAATCAAGAAAATATTAAAAACTCTGAATAATTCAATATCATGCAGTGATATTGAAGAAATAATGAAAAACTGCCAACTAAGGATAGCTCCAATCCTGATGGATTTACTGCTGACTTCTATAAGAACTTTAGGAAATATTTAAGGTCAGCACTCCTCAAACCTTTAATGAAATTAAAAGGGAGAGAGTATTCTCAAAGTCTTTTCTGGAAGCTAGCATTTCCCCGAAGACAAAACCAGATAAAGACCTAACAACAATAGCAACAAAGACAGAGAGAGAAAAAGAGAGAGAGAGAGAGAGAGACAGACAGAGACAGAGAGACAGAGAGAGAGACAGAGACAGAGACAGAGGGAGAGACAGAGAGAGAAGGAGAGACAGAGAGACAGAGACAGGGAGAGAGAGAGAGAGAGAAACTATAGACTAATTCCTTTAATGAACATAGATAAAAAATTCTCAACAAGATATTGGCAAATAGAATGCAACAAATCATCAAAAAGATCAATTATGACCAAGTAGGATTCATCCACAGATGTAGGTATGGTTCAACATACACAAATGTGATATATCCCATAAATAATAAATGTGATATATCCCATAAATAAAAGCCAGGACAAAACTCACATAGTCATCTCAATTGATGCTAAAGAAATCATTGACAAAGTCCAACATCCATTCTTAATAAAAGCTCTGAAGCAAATGGGTATTTCAATCTCACAAGAGCCATCTATGACAAACCAATGGGCAGCATCGTACTGAATGGGTAGAAGGTGAAAATTTTCACAAAAATTTTCACTCCAAAATCAGGAGCAAACCAAGAATGACCATTATCACCACTCCTGTTCAATATATTTCTCAAAACATTAGCGAGAGCACTCAGACAAGAGAAAGAAATAAAGGGCTTTGTGTAAGAAAGGAAGAAATCAAATTAACACTGTACACAAATGACATGATCCTCTGCACAGGAGACACAAAGAATTCCACCAAAAGACTCCTAGAGTTAATAGCCAAATTCAGAAACGTAACAGGATGCAAAAACCAATAGCATTCTGCTCACCAGTAATAAACTCACCAAGGAAGAAATTAGGGAAACACTACCTCTCACAATAGCATTAAGAAAAATTAAATACTTAGGAATTAACCTTACAGGGGAAGTGAAAGACTCCTACTATGAAACTATAGTACTCTAAAAAGGAAGATAAAATATGACATTAGAAAATTGAAATGTTTCCCCCATTCTGGGATAGGCAGAATCAACATGTTTAAAATGGCCATACTTCGAAAGCTGTATATAGATTTAATGCATTTCTAATCAAAATGCCAGTAGCATTCACTACAGCAAGAGAAAACAATCCTAAAACTCATGTGGAACAAGAAGATAGCTAGAACAGCAGAAGAAACCTTGGAAGACAAGTAAGGCAGGGGGCATCATAATCCCTGACTTGAAATTATGCTATAGTGATAACAGACAGCACGATATTGGCAAAACACCCAGATGTGGTCGATGGAACAACACAGAGAATGCAAAAACAATTCCAGGCATATTCACCTACCTGATCTTTGATGAAGGGGCCAAAAATTTATGTTGGAGGAAAGACAGCCTCTTTAATAAATGATGCTGGGAAAACTCGCTATACATATGTAAAAAATTGAATTTAAAACCTTCTCTCTCACCATGTACTAAATTAAAGTCAAAATGGACCAAAGATGTAAGCATTAAAACAGAACACTTAAGCTGCTAAAGACAAAAATAGGTAAAATTCTTGAACTCATGAGTGTAGGCAAGGACTTTCTGAATATAATCCCAATATCAAAAGAAATAATACCAGCGATCAATAGA